TTTATACCAAAAAATAAAACATTTTTAAAGGAAAACATAAAAAGGTAAAAAAAATATTTCCACATTGCAAAACTTGTCATTGAATGATATACGTAAGGACTTTTGACATGATCACTTCCAAGCCATGATATTTTTCTTTCACTTCTACAAGCCAGAACTGCCCAAAGCTTCATAATCTTTTTGTAAGTTAGAAGAATAGAGAATGGTTTCTGGGTGCTGCAACAAAAATAGTTGGCTAGCTCACTCACTTGCAAAAAAGATTTTAAGCCTTAATTGCTTGAAACAAAGGTGTGAAATCTGAAAGAAATAGCTGCTGAAGCTAAGAGAAGAAAAAAAAGGAATCAACAATGCAATTTTATCTTTCTGTTTTTTCTGAACAACAAGCCCATTCCAAGTTTTTGGGGTCTGAAAGGCCATTCCATTTGAGATTCGTCCTCTGTGTGTGAGGTTCATGGGCTTTCTGGCCCAATAAATAGACTTGGACTCCCGCTATACCCAATTTATTATTTTTTATTTATTTCTTGATTAATGGAACAGACCAATAGAGACTTCAATTAAAAATAAAATAAAATTCAAATATAACTAAAAGATTTAATATTTCAGTGTTTGGATGTTGAGTTGAAAGGGGAATGACAGTGAAGGAGAATTACTTAAAATATGAAAAGTTATATGTTAGAAGTCAGTCAATTATAACATCCAACAAATAAATGTTAAATAAATAAATAAAATATTTGTAATTTTTTATATTTTAATTTGCATTATGAACACTTTTGATCTTTTAGGTTTGTTAGTAAATTATATTTTATTTTTAAGCTAACTAAATTTAACCACATCATTATTTTTCTTCTTTCAAATGAGAAAAATATAATTTAGATTTTATTTTTCATAAGTAAATAAGAAATTTATCAAACTACTAAAATTTCTTTCAATGGAATAGTAAGTTGGCCCAATGATTTTCATATGCGGTTTTGTTAATATTAAATTTTAGGGGTGATTTTAAACCTTCAAGAATAGTTTTTTTTTTTTAATAAAGAAAATATATTTATTATATTTCTCTATTTTTTATATAATAAATAATTTTTTCTAACAAATCAACAAACTAATCTTAAAATACTTTTAAATGAAATGTGATCGAACGAAAATGATGGAAGTCAGTCACCTCTTCGTTTTTGAAATAGTCAGTCATGTCATCTTTTTCGGATAAGTCTGATTGGTTTAAAATTTGATATATTTACGTTATGAATTTAGCTTAAAATAAAATATCACTTATAGTGGAAAATTATTCATCTCTTTCTCTTAAAATAACGATATCTATTATTATATAATTATTTTTTAATTTAAATTTTTTAAAAGTGAAAAAAGTAACAATACAAATTATATACTATAGAAGTATAAAGCATGTACTTCACCATTATAAAATAAATGTAATTAAACTTATCCAAAATAAGAAAATAAATTAATTATTAATGATCCAATCAATGGTCAACATTACGTATACTCATATAATAACTATTGGATTTGTTAGATTATATTATTTTAATTTTTAGTCAATGATTAAATTTTTTTTTTTTTTGTTTTAAAAAAGTGAAATCCCCATTAAAAAATATGTAATCCATACACTCTATTTTCTAATTTTCGTACTTCTGAACTTTCAAGAAAAATATTTGTGTTCACTGTCATTAATTTAAACGAGAAGAAAGGTAATTCAAACTCAAAACTGAAGAATCTCATAAAATTATTAAAATTAAGCATTTGATCTTAATTAATCAATATATTATGAAAATATAATATTATAACGATAGAGAAGATGCTGATAATTAAGTATTAGAATTACCTTAATTGAAATAATTTTCATTCAACAAAAATTTAATTATTGATATAAATATTATAAATTGAATTAACAATACACATTATGCAATCTTAATATTGGGCCCATGTTCTTAAAAATGAATACGTGCAAAGGACGCATAAGCAAGGGAAATACAATATACAAACGTCATGCACGCAAATATTATTGTTGTTCATGCGAATGATCAACAAGCAATGTTCTATAAATTATTATGATCTTCAAAAGATCGTTGTTTATCGTGAAAGAGGTCTCTTTCAGTGATAATTATTTTGGTAAATCAAAGAAAAGGATAATTAGAAATCTAGGTGAATTAAATACATTAAGAAAACTATTTAAAAATATTTTGGTAAATTATTTAAGAGCCGAACTTATTAAATCACTAAAAAATTGTATTCCTTATTTTTATTTAAAAATATATTTTCTCTTTTATTTTCATTGTTAATAATAATAATAATAATAATAACTTTTCTTACTAGTTTTTTATCTTTGTTTTCTTAACTGGATTCCCGTTATTATATAGGTTGTTGACCGATTAAACTTTTATTGGCTGTTTATGTTACTTTATAATCATAGTCTTGGAAGTAATCATAAAGGCATGTTCTTGAAATAAGGCAAATCAGCAAACTTTATTAGTTTCTATCATCTATATAATTATACAGGAAAAAGATATTTTAATTATTAGTGTGGGCTTAGTCTATGATTTTTTTCACATTAACTTAACATATTCACTATTATAGAATTGGTAGAATAAGTAATTTAGTTATCGATTTATATCTTTTTATTTTAATTTAATATTCTAGTTTTTCTTCATATTATTACTTTATCTTTGCTTCTTCTTTTTTTTAACTTAGCCGTATTTATCAATTACAATAGTTTTTAACCCTAAAATTTTGTTAATTGTAATGTTTTTTCTTTCATTATCACAATTGCTAAATAACATCAAATTAAAACTAAAATATATATAAAGGATTAAAATAAAAATTAACTGAAATAAAAAATAAATAAAATTCTAAGACTATAGTACCAATTATAGAATAAATTAAAATTTGTTCAGTACTTCGCGTTAAAAAAAAAACTACGTGCCTTTCACTTCTTTTTAACTCTCATATAAATTATTTTAATTTTTTATAATAATATTTTCTCTTTTCATCCAATTCTCTGTATATACGATCAAACTAATTTACCTTTAAATTATCTTTTGTGATAAAAAGTCAGAATTATACATCTATCTAATCTTGATAAAATTAAACTTCGCAAACAATTATAATCTCGTAACTAAAAATTCAAGATAAACAAATGAGGTTAATTGTAATATATTGCTAATTTTTTTAAAAATTATTTGTTATTATCCAATCGTTCGCTGTCACAAATTTATTAAATTTAATAATATTTAAAGGACAATCTTTGTGATGATGTGATAACATATCATTACATAACAATGTGAAATAATAATGCATTATGATTTATTTTTTTAAAATTACTGTGAATTCTGATTGGGTTTGGCATCCCGTGGAACGAGAATTATTCAGAAATGGTTGAAGCAATGATATCCACAGCCACTAAGAAAATATAGATCTATGCTATATGATGAGCTTATCATTGTTGCAATCCCATGTTGCTACAATTGTCTTGTTGAATGTTACAATTGGACATTTGTAGGTGAATTTCACTTTGATTCATACCGAATTTCAATAGCTTATACTGTAGTTCATTTTAAAAGATCTTTTAATAAAAGATTTTCTTTTGTTACCACAATTAATATGTGACTATTGTACTATATTTTACTATATATAAAATACAAATTGGATGAAATTTCGAATTGCACTTTCTTTTTATACAATATGATTTAACATAATAATTATAATAATTCAATATGTATTGCTTTACAGATAGCTTAGCTTTCAGTTGTGAACATGATTTGTCCCTTTTTATTAAAGCAGATATGAGGGCTTAGTTCGTGTCATGAGATATATTCAAAAGTAATCTAGTTACCTTGCAAAACAGGGTTGAACTAGACTTTTTCATACTAAATAATCATTATAAAGCCATGGTTATTGGAGCTGTTGTCTAGGTTAAGGTAATTCTTAATTCATATGCATCATGTTACAGCTAACTTTAAGTGAGCTGGCTAGGCGCGCATGGAAATGGAACAAAAGAAGAACAAAAAATCACATACTCCAAGAGATAGGAGAAAGTGAAAAGAAGCAAAACCAAGAGAGAGAAAAAAGTTAGGAGAATTGTATATTTGTTTTATAATCTTTGCGTTTGAGTGTATTAATGAAGTTTACAATTGGCTTGTATTCTATGGTCACAACTTTTATTTGTTGGTGACTGGAATTGTTCTTTCTTCCCTACGAAGTGTGAACCATACCCTAGAATTCAAGTTCTTTTTTATTAAAAGACCAAAAAGAGAAAAAGGAAAAATAATCCTAGTTGCTTACAAATTAGTGAAATCACAGTTGGTACTCAATAATATTGTACTGTGTCACATTATTAATGCATGTATAAAATCATAAAATGTCGAAAGGTTTACTTTACTGATGAAAATAAAAACACATTGGTGGGTCTTCAATAACACTAACCACCCAATAAAGATGGGGATAGATCCACTAAGGCCTAGAACAGAACGTCGATTCATCATTTGTGCAGTGAATTGTGACTTGGAAATCAATATTTTTTTTATATAAACTTTAGTGTCAAATTCCTCCACCCACTTCCACTTGGTCCAATACATAGAGTTTGTATCGCTGTAGGACACTAGTGCAACTTGATATTCTTTTGGTTTGGTGACGTCCAAACTTGCAAATTTTACCATCAACTTTTTTCTTTTTCTCCATCTGTAATTAATGATTCTCATTTGTAGCATTAGTTCTTGGGTTGCCATTAGCCAAGCAATGCTTATATTCTAAATACTCATTATTCACTCTCTCCCTTGTACAATACTTAACCAACTAACACCACTACAGCACCAAACAACTTCTTTTGCTGATCTAAAGCACTGGCCTTCCCCTTAAAGAAACAGAAAGCCAAATGCAATAATGGTCAAGATAAAAGAGGCACACTAAAGTTGGTGCTAAAGGACTTGCCTTATTAAATGCTGATCATCCCCTCCATTTCTTTTCAAAATTCAAATTGACCCTTTTGGCCTTCTCTTCTTTCTTTCTAAGCTTCATATCCAATTTTTCAACTGATGGCAGCAACAAAATCTTAGAGAAAGCTTTGCTGTGAGGTGAGGAGTTTGAAAATGAGCACAGCAAGGTTCATCAAGTGTGTTACAGTGGGAGATGGAGCCGTGGGAAAGACCTGTATGCTCATCTCTTACACCAGCAATACATTTCCCACGGTATGACAACACATGTTGTTTAGTTGTTTCAATATGTAAATATTAGCTTGTGCTTGATCAATGAAATATTCACTTACTCTCATTGAAAAAAATTACAGGACTATGTGCCAACAGTTTTTGACAACTTCAGTGCAAATGTGGTGGTTGATGGCAGCACAGTTAACCTGGGATTATGGGATACTGCTGGTAAGTATTATAAAGAAAAAGACTAGCTGCAATACTGCTCAGCATTTTTATTGTAATGTGCTTATGTGCATAGTATTTAGCATGGAAAAAGGGGCTTCAGTCACTAAAACTTGATAATGTTGAAATTTAACTCCTTAATTCCTTATATAGTTATAGTAGTAGTAGCAGTATATTCCATGCTTTACTCATTTATTGTAGCTTCATAAATTCAGGACAAGAGGATTACAATAGGCTTAGGCCTTTGAGCTACAGAGGAGCTGATGTGTTTTTGCTGGCATTTTCCCTACTTAGCAGAGCCAGCTATGAAAATATCTCTAAAAAGGTTCTTCTGCAAGTCAATATATCCACCTCTACATCATGACACATTTACACCTATTATTAATATTACACAAACAATGCAACATCTTATATTCATATGTGAACTGTGATATGGTAAATTCCAGTCAATTTAACACTGGGCCCATTTTATGCAGTGGATTCCTGAACTGAGACACTATGCCCCAACTGTGCCAATTGTCCTTGTGGGAACCAAACTTGGTATCAGATAATAGTTTAAAAATTTCTAGACAATTTGGTTTTATTTAGCTACCTACAAGTTCACCTTTAGTGGGCATTTAATAGTTATTGTATATTTATAATTGGCTGCAGACTTGAGGGAAGATAGGCAGTATTTTATTGATCATCCTGGAGCAACACCTATAACTACTGCACAGGCAAGTCCCTTATATTCTATGTTCCAACAACGCATTGAAATTTTTTTTGTTTTGTTTTTGAATACCGGAATCCTCTAAATCATGGGCAGGGAGAAGAGCTGAAGAAGGCAATTGGTGCTGCTGTGTACATAGAATGCAGCTCAAAGACTCAGCAGGTTCTGATTTTCAAATGGTTATAGCTAGACAAGGTTTTAGATGTCATCTAAGCAAGTTGCAGTAAAAGGGTCCTGTTAGAGATACAATGTAAAATCATACCAAACATTCAGCTACTAGGGAAATTGGTACAGCAGAATGTGTTCCAATTAAAGATTCAATATTAACTGCATTAGATTTTCCAAAACCAATATGTCCACTTCATTCTTTTATGCCACCGTCTAACCAGGCAAAAAATATTAAGAGTTATCAACATGTATTGTGTAATTAATGGAGATATTAATCCATATCTAACATTGTATTTGATTAAAATATTTCCTTAAACTATATAATACACAATGTTAAATAATATTTTTGTACGTAATTAAACGGTACAAAAAGTGGTTCTGAAAAAAAAAAGTTTGTGCATCATTTTCCAAGATCATTTCACCTAACAAAGTATCTATCAAGAATAAAATATAAAGAGTGAAAACATTTTTTTATACTGCAATTGCAAATTAAAGCAATTGCACTTTAGTCTTTTTGCTGCAGACGACCGACCGAGTCTGGTAAATTATTTGTTTTGTTTTATAAGTTTTTTGTCTGAATTATTTCCAATTGTATATTATTTTTTGTAAGACATTGAATTTTGGTGCATGGCATCATTGTTTAACTTAAAAACTAATTCTTATGTCTATGCTGCAACATTTCAGAATGTGAAGGCTGTGTTTGATGCTGCAATCAAGGTTGTTTTGCAGCCACCAAAACCAAAGAAAAAACGAAAGAAGAGCAGAACATGCGTTTTCCTTTAATTCGTGTTCACGTTTGGTTCGCATCCTGTAACATTCGTAACCTTCTCCTAAGTTCTCTCTCTTTTTTTACTGCACGAATCGTTCTATGAACATATGTATTCCAAACACTACCTTCTTTCCGTTTTCTTGTATTTTCTTGTTTAATGATGTTCGTTCCAATGTATCTACTTTATATACGAGGAGACGGTACTCAATTCAAGATAAATTTTGTGATAAGAAAAGTTTAATAGCATTAATCATCACTTTCTTTTTGCTCAGCATCTTTGTTTTTTCTAAGGGCTATTCTCTAAGTAATGGTTAAATGTCTGTCATGATTTTTGTCGTTAACTATGATTCTAATCCTTCACGAGCTGCATTATTGATAGTATGATTCTAAGTAATGGTTAAATTTTCTATCATGTGTTTAACGGGATCCCAAAGGTTGAGCAGTTAGAATCATTATTGATTCTGAAATCTGAAGTCTGAACCCACATACACAGCAATTACATCGTGGCAAGCACTTGCTATATCATCGATGACCAAAATCTGATTGTATGTGATATCGCACCCTTAAGTAATTATACATTGCTTCGAGACAAGTGATAAAGAAATTCTTGAATGATTTGTTGATAATATATTATATTATATTCTTTCAAATTATATCATACACATTCTTGCATTCAAATTCTATAAAGTCAAAAGGACTCGTCTCTTAAAAATTATGCACAAATAATAAATTTTATAATATTTAACTCAATAGATTATAAAATACATTGAATAATTTATTATTTATTTAATAATAAATTATGATCCAGTTCAATTTATGTACTAATTGTTGTTTTTATAATTTAAATAATTGATTGAATATATACATGAGTAAATTGAATGGTTAGTAGTTAAATAGATTGAATTGACACCTTGATGTCCTAAATTTCATTATTTTCATATTTTTTATAATTATTAAATAACTCTACTAGTTTATTAATCAATTTATTAAAAATAAAATTTAAAATTATCCCAAATTACTAAAAAAAATAAAATCAGTAATTATTAAAGGAAAAACAATCTTAAGTAAAAAAAATAAAAACCTGAAAGATATCTCAACTCAATCTACATCACTTAAGTATCATTTTTTTTGCAAATATTTCTCATATCATTGCTCTTCTTGTCATAAAAAAAATTATCAAGCAGCCTAGGCACTCAATTATTTCAGGATAGATGAAAATGTTATAAAATGATTCAAATAAAAAAAATTATTTTATCATTATTTTCTATTTTTTATTTACTTAATTGTTAATTTTTTAAGTTTTTTGTGCTAGTTGATTCTATTTACTAAAGAGAGGAAAAGAAAACGGGGAGTATCAAGTTAGTGCATAGCAGAATGTAAATGCGCCTGTAGCTCAGTGGATAGAGCGTCTGTTTCCTAAGCAGAAAGTCGTAGGTTCAACCCCTACCTGGCGCGCTTTAGAATTGAGATTAATTTTAGGCTTATATTCAAGTTAAGAAAAATTAGTATAGAATAAATATTTATTGAAAGTTATATTAAGATGATTGAAAATTTCAATATTGTTCTTAAATTTATATTTATATATCGAACACGAAGGATTAATTAAAATGGAATGATGATATAAATGGTTAACGTGGAGTTGAATATTCTTTGGCTTAATCATGGTGACGAACTTGGATTGCAACTTGGAACCAGTTTCCTCCTACTGCTCCATCAATGACTTAGCTACGCTTTCTTTTCCGTCTTCAATGTTAAAATGATTAATATTTTATGATAAATCAGCTTAGAATGGTTGCATTTATTTGAATTTCAAACTTTATGACTAAATGATATAAGAAAAATATAACAGTATTGTTACACCTACATCCAAATCAATACAAAGAATTGTTACACCAATTTTATATAACAAGTGAAAAAATAAATAAATGTTCAAATTTCTATCTTTCGTATTTTATTATTTTATAATAATATCAAGATATAATACATTAATAATTCATATAAAAAATTTGCTACATTATTAATGAAAATTAAGGTATGTTGAAAGGGTTAAAAACACGATCTTATCATCCATTTTTATTTTTTTATTCTTTAAATTTAGAATCCAAAACCTTAGCACTATTCGAATTAAGTTATATTCTAATATTTAAAAATCAAATAAACATCGTTAAAAAAATTAACGATAAATATAAAAATCAATCCAAAAATTTGAAGAAAAAAAACATTGACCATTAATTTATTTTTTAAAGGACTTTTTGCAATAAAAAATATTAAAAAACTTTTTTATGATAAAAAATATATTAAATTAATAGGCTTAATACTAGGCTACTGGGGGAGTGGGGCGCGAGAGAAGCCTTGAGCAAAACTAACTTAAAACTCTCGAAACAATGAAAAGCCAATTTTTTATTACATTCTAAACACACACATATTGATTTTATGAATCATGCCTTTCCCTTCTAAATCTGATGGTTACATCATAAGCAGACAGAAAAATAAAATAAACAATTTCAAATTTCAATCTGCATTTAATTCACTTATTTTAGAATATATAATTATTTTTTACAAATTTCCAAATAAAAACATTTACCGAGCATGTGTATTGTTTCAATCTTCTTCTTCTTTTTTCAAAAATATTATTATTTTTACTCACCGAAAGACTGATTAAAAAAAACAAGGCATCTTCAAAACATACTTTTTCGAAACTAGTTAATTTTTATAAATTATTATTTCCATTTAAAAATCAATGAAAATTATTATTTTCTTAAAACAAATCATTCAGCAATATATTAATATATTAGTTTTATTAAAAAATATTAATAAATGCTCCTATAGCATGGCTAAAAAACAAAAAATATTATATTAAAAAATACATTATCATTAATCTTATTCATAAGAAATAATTACTATTATTTTTAGTAATTATAAGAGACAAAAATTATTTTTATATGTATCAGTTGTTAATTCTTTTATACCTTTATTTATTAAAAGATTTATGTTAATGAACACTCATTTATTGTTCACTTGAATGATTATATTTACTCATTTAATATTATTTTTAGTCTTAATATAAAAAATAATAAATATTTAAATCATTATAATTAATAAAAATTAAATTTATATTTTATTTTTAAAAATGTATAAAATTAAATAGTCATTAATGTTTGTATATTTAATAAATGTATGATCCTCTTGCATAAGTCAAAAGTAAGTACTTTATTAACATAAAATTTATAATAAATATAGATATCAAAAATTAACAAATCACACATAAAATAGATATTATTTATATTAAAAGTATTAATAATTAGTTCTTATAAATAAAAATAAAAGCTTTATAAAACAATAGTTTTATAATTTAATATTATATTTATTTATTTAAAATACTACCTCTAGTTGACCAATTTTATATATAAAAATTAATATTTTTATCCTAATTATAAAAATAAAGACTAATTTTTATATACATTAATTGTTAAAGTTTTTATACTCTTACTTATTATGAAAGATATATTAATTTCACATTTATTTATTATCTATATAAATATTTATTTATTTAATATATAAAATATTAATTCGAGTATTTAATATTATGAATATTCTTCAAATAGAATATAAATTTTTAAGTATTTTTTATTAATTTTAATAAATAAAGTATGTGTTACTTACAAATAAATTGGGAATTTCCTTTTGGTAGGAGAAGAGTCGTTTTGAATGCTTCTCCCTCCTTTATGCAACAGGCAATGCCTACATTCCTTCCTCGTACACGCTACACGTCTCTTTTTCTCTTTCTCTCTCCGTGTCTGCTACAAGTAGAAGAATACTCAAAAAAGTTACATGATTTAAACCAACCCATTTCTTTTCATTCAGTTTCGATCTAAGAAACAGCAACACCCGTCGTTTTTACTTCGTTCAAAATCAATGGGTGCCGACGAAGACTACGACTACTTGTTCAAGTTGGTGTTGATCGGAGACTCGGGTGTTGGCAAGTCCAACCTCTTGTCTCGATTCACCAGAAACGAGTTCAGCTTGGAATCCAAATCCACCATCGGCGTCGAATTCGCCACCCGCAGCGTCCCCGTGGATAACAAGCTTGTCAAGGCTCAAATCTGGGACACAGCTGGTCAAGAAAGGTCACACTTTTTTCCATCAATTCTTGGCTTTCTTTCTGATTCTTGCTTTTACAACATATCTATGATTTGGGCTTCAATTTAATGTTGATAGGTTTCCTTAGTTTTTCAATTGATGAATTCAATGGTGGGAAATGCAAACTGCGTGATCTTTTTGGTGGTTGTGGAATTCTTGCTTTTGATCTTGATGATTAGGTCACTGATAAGTATACGGAGGATTGTGCTCTGTAGTCTGTAGTGTATGGTTGCTGCTTTTGATCTTGAAGAATTGGGTTTTGCAAAAATGCAATTTGTTCAAATTAAGGCTTGTTTATTTTTATGACATGATCTGTTGTTTTTCCAGAAGTATTATGGGAAGAATGTATAGATTTGGATTCAAATCACCAGCATTCCTTACTAGTTGACTGCTTTCTTTAATTTTGCAAACTGAAAAATACCCTAAAAAGAAAAATTCTTTCTTTTAAATGGGCGATGTTTTCTGAAGGAAGAAGAGATAAAGTCATCTGATTTCTAACGGTTATTACACTATGTAAATAAGTGTAGTTTTGAATTAAATTTGAGGATAATTGATTTTGAATTGTTGAATATTGTTGCTTGTTAATGGTCTATACCTACTTTTCTTTTTCTAAAATCTACTTATAAACTTGAAATGTTGTTTATTACAACAGATATCGTGCAATTACAAGTGCTTACTACCGAGGAGCTGTTGGTGCCTTGGTTGTGTACGATGTTACCCGACACGTGACATTTGAAAATGTGGAGAGATGGTTGAAGGAGCTTCGGGAACACACAGATGCGTACGTTGTAATCATGCTTGTGGGAAACAAAGCAGATCTTAGACACTTGCGTGCGGTGTCAACGGAAGAAGCCACGCAATTTGCGGAGAAAGAGAACATATATTTCATGGAAACCTCTGCTCTTGAATCCTTAAACGTGGACAACGCTTTTGTCGAGGTGCTCACTCAGATATACAATGTTGTGAGTAGGAAGACTCTTGATAGGATGGATGACACTGCGCCAAACTTGCCCAAAGGAGAGGCCATTGTTATTGGAACTAAAGATGATGTCTCAGCGGTTAAAAAGAGTGGATGCTGTTCCACTTAGTTTGAGAGATAAAGAAAGAGGAAGAGTCTTAGTTATATAGTAAAAGAGGGTGTAATAAATCCTCATCATTTTGGGATCCATATGAAATGTTTGATTATTGATACCTATTCTTTTTTCTTTTTTTTATGTTAAACATCTGTGCTACTCTTTTTTAGGAGTTCATTGTTTTATTATGTTCATTTGTTGGAGATATACGATTGGCTTAAACAGCTCTTTACTGTGGTCACAATGCTGGTGTTCTCTGCAACTCTCTACCTTGTTCTGTTTTTTAACAATGACATTCGTAAAAATTCTCATTAATTTTTCTATTTATATACGATATCAGTTTTGTTTGGACATGATAGTTAATTAGCAAACAAAATTACACGGTAAAAAAAGTACTACTTTCATTTCAAATTAAGTATTATTTTTATTTAAAAAAATCATATTAAGTGACATTTAAGATTTTAATTTTGTATTTTACTTTTACCCCAAATAAATAAAATTTCATGAACTTTACCAATACAAACTTGACCTACGAAAGAATGGAATCATACTGTTTAGTGAGAGGTCAAGATATGATTTTACCTGATAACATAAAAATCACAAAAAGAAAGTGTGTGAAGACGTGCTTGTATCAGAAGGGGTAAGTTAGTTTATTGAAACTCGTTCTAATTTAATTAAGTTTTAAAAAATGTTCCAAGTTTAATATTTTGGGAATGCAACTCTGCTAAGAATATTAAAAAAAATTACTATTCATAATGATTTTATATACCTTAATTCAAATTAGTTGGTGTAATATTTTGGATATCACAATTTTAGTGTTAAAAAAGTTAAAGATTTATAAGGTGTTTGATTTTACATTAAGATAGCAATAGCAATGTATTTTTAAACACACACTTACACAATAAATTTAAAATAAAGATTCCATTAATCAGTTGGTGCATAGAGTTATTTTAATTTAATGAAAAATTATAACTTCAAATACCTTAAAATTTCATTCATTAAAACTCTTGGAGCCAAAATGATATTTTAAACATTATTTGTCGGCTACTAGTATGCACAGAAGGTTAGATTTTGCCCATTAGTGACCTTAATGTCATCAAAAGTGAACCTAATCAAAGTAATGCTCTGATTCATCGAATCCAACTCAGAAGTCAAACCCATCTCAGTTCCACCAATACCCTTCTTCCCCCTCTTCAGTTCAATCTCAAGTAAACTCACCTAACATAAACAAACCCAACACACAAAACACCACAACAACCACAATAACAATGTCTTGATGCTTACCAGAAGAACCGGAAGAGGAAAAATCAAGGCCAAACAAGCACTTAGCAGTTCCGGGTTGGTGGATCCATACTGAACGAAAGAGCAGCAGCATAAATAGTAGTATAAGCCCTACAATCGGAAATGTTGCCAACCATTGTTCGGTTGAAGTAGGATAACAAATTGGACAATTTGGTAGTGCAAAGGGCATAGGGAGTGTTATTCTCAAGTGAAAGGTCACAGTTTCCTTGAACGGCTTGGATTGGAAATTAGGAACAAGGGCTTCTAAATGTTGTTTGGTGGTGACGCTCAATCACTCATGCAGCCCTGGGAGATCCAAGATGTTCGAAGACCACAAGAGAAGCGAACATCAAAGGTGTATTTGTTGATGAAAGATTGGAACATGTTCCAACACGATTCAGAGTTCAGTGGCGGCACGAAGGTTGGATTTTGTTCATCAGAGGTAACTTGGAATGCGTCTCTGTCTCTTCCCAGATTTTCCTCTACACTTTCGCCGAGTTCTTCATCATGTTGTTCCATCCTTCAGGGATGTTCGGTAGGTGTCCGGGCTTCCTGAAAAATCCTTCCGGCAAGAATGCTGCTTGAACATTGTCGAGAGCACTGATCTGGTTTGGACATTGTATGAACAAATGCTCGTTTTGAAGCTTCTTTTATGCAGAAAATGGTTGGCAATGGCGGATTTCGGCAGGGGAGAAAAGCAAGAAGAAGAAGAAGACGGTATAATTGTCCGTTAAAAATTGAACTACAGAAAGATGAAATTTGCTTGATTGAAAAAATAGAGATACTAAAATCTTAAAAGTTAAAATTTGAAGGAATAAAATCGATCAAGCCCGTATTCAATAACACTTAAATTTAAACAAATATATATATTTTTAAAAACTCTAGCAAGAAACTGACAAAATTGAGTTATTATTTTGCCAAAATAAAACCAAGCAAGCAAATACAGGTAACTAACTATGCTTATAGCTCACATGTTTAGGTGTGCGCATTAACTACCAAACAGTTGACATCAACCGATAAAACCCACATTCCGGTTCGTTCTTCAAAAATCTCAGAGCCTTCAAATTTCATTCTTATCATCTCATAGTTAGACATGGCGGATCGCGTTTCAGCACGAACCCTCATCCTTTCAAACCACCTCCTCCACCGCAACCCATGCCTCCATTACTCTCCGCCGGAGCTCTCAGAGCCCTTCGAATTCAACGTCAGAGAGATGCGGAAGCTCATGGACGCTCACAACCTGGAGGACCGCGATTGGCTCTTCGGGATAATCATACAGAGCAAGCTCTTCAACCCTAGAATACTAGGCGGAAAGGTGTTCGTGTCCCCCGATTACAACCAGTCCATGGAGCAGCAAAGAGAGATTACAATGCGCCGAATTGAGTACCTCTTAGATCGAGGCGTGTTCAAGGGTTGGCTCACCGATTCTGGCCCTGACGCTGAATTGAGGAAACTTGCATTGATGGAGGTTATTACCATGTACGATCATTCCCTCTACATCAAGCTCGGCGTTCATTTCTTCCTCTGGTGCGGTGCCTCTTCTTCCCTCATATCCCTCATTCAATTTGAAAAGTGGGTGGGTCTCACCAAATTTACCTAAGTGAATTCTAATCTTCTGATTTTTCACGCGTAAACTAAAATCATTTGAGGAGGTGATGTGCGATTAAGTTAGATTATTTTTATTTTATTTTGGCAATTAAATCTTCAAGAAGGAGGTATGTCAAATCTACCGATAAATAAATATATTTTTTTAAAAAGCAATAAAAAATTGTATATGAGTGAATAATGATATTATTATAATTTTTACCGTAAAGTATTTTAAATATAAAATTAAAGTTAAATTTATATTTAGTCTTTAAAATTAACAATGATTTATATTATATTAAAATAATTTTTGTTTTATAGTTTTACATTTTTATTCTTGTCATTATAATAATTTTAATAATAAAAATTTAAATATAATAAAATATTTAAATTTTATTTTTTAATACAAATTAATCTATAAACATGTTAAATATAAGAATTAGTCATTTAAATAATTATAATTATAAAAATATTAAATTTAGTTTAAAATATAAATATTTATTATTATTTTATTTTATTTGCATAACATTTAACTTTTAACTAATAAAAAATGTATTTTATTTTTTATATTATCTTTAAAGAAGAAATAAAATATCAGCATTAACATTTTTATTATAATTTTATAACTTATAACTATATCAATTTATATATAATATATTTTTTATATAAAATATTATTTTATAATATATTTGCAAAAATTATTTTTAATATAAAAATAAAATATTTATTATATTAATATGTAAAATTACATTGTTACTTAAAATTTTAAAATATTAATTTTATTACATAAATATATTTTTAATTTTTTTATTATAATATAAATAAATAATTCTTATATTAGTTAAAATTTCATTAATTAAATTTTATATTATTTTTTATCAATTATATATTTTATTTATACAAAAATATCTAAATTTTTTAATCATAATAAAAAATCTATCACAAATTATTCTTAATATTTTATTAATTATAATTATTTTTTTATTAATTCATGTATTCACAAAAAATTAATAAATTTTATAAAATATATATTATGTTAAATTATAAATGATAATATATAAATTTTTTATTTTAAAAATCCACAATTATTTTATTTAGTATTTTACTTTTTAATTTTCTAGATATGTTCAGCATTTATATTGTGTAATTTTTAGTTAATATATATTTAATTTTTATAATTAATACTTATTTATAAATTAATTTTTATGTTTAAAAAAAATTATATATTAGTGTTTATATAAATGTTTTGTTATGTTTTAATCTATATTATTATAAGATTGTTCATCGGTAAAATCAAATCGTAAATAATAATAATAATAATAATAATAATAATAATAATAATAATAATAAAGGCGTGATAAAGCATTCACATAAAGATTAAAATATAATTTTTTAAATATAAAAATTAATTTTGAAGTAGATTTGGTGTATAGAAAATAAATATATAATTAAAATTAAAATTAAAATTAAAAACATATGTAGATATACATTTTAATCAAGCACTTATTTAATAAATTACTTTTGTTACTATAAATTTAATCATGCAATATTACATTAATTTAATATAACTTATTTTAATATTAAAAAGTTTATTGAAATAATGTAAAAGCTTATATGAAGCACAGGATACGCTCATTTGAATTTAGACGAACGTTTAAAATATTTATAGAAATCTTTTAAATATAATTTATGTCTTTCTTAAATTTGTTTAAATAGATTTTTTAATATAGCTAATCAAAATTATTTTAAAAAAATATTTTTTATTTATATAAATAAAATTTGCAAAAAAAAATTATAATTTGAGTCTTTAAAATTGAGTTTAAATATTTAAAAAAAAATTATTAGACATTTTTATTCTTAAGATGATAAATATTTTTTTTATAATTAAAATTTAGTAATTTAGTTGCTTATTTTTAATCGTAAGAGTTTAGAATAACATTTTTCTAAAGAAAACTTGATGATGGTATAAATCCTTACATGATTAGAGCTAAGTGCTTACACCTAACTAATGTAATCAAATTAATTTCCAGATGTAGTGTGTTTCTCTTTGCTGATGTATTTCAGGGGTGGGGCCGTACAGTTTCTGGGAACGAAGCGCCACCATGACAAGTGGCTGAAGGACACTGAAAACTATGTTATCAAGGGATGTTTTGCCATGTCTGAGTTGGGCCATGGGAGTAATGTAGGTGAAGCTCGTTCAAAAACATGAAATATTATTGACTACAGGGTTTTGTTAGAGTTTAACCAACCAATAATAATAAAATTTTATTAAAAATAAAAATATTTATTATATTTTTATAACTTTAATAATTATATAATTTATTTGTAAATATTTTTATTTAAAAATACTTAAATTTAACACTGTACACTGAAGTTAACAATATTAAGCCCGCGTATAATATATAATATATTATGCTTTTTGTCTTGTCCATCGTCATTTTCCATAATTAAACGCACTAAATTCGTAGGTCCGAGGAATCGAAACTGTCACTGCGTACGATTCAAACACAGGAGAATTTGTCATCAATACTCCATGTGAATCAGCTCAGAAGTATTGGATAGGTGGTGCAGTAAATGTAAGGAGTCTTTCTATCTAAAATTATTATACGATTGTTAAACTGCTTACATCGCTCCAACTTTCAGCTTTGTATATGTAACACTATATTATTTACTTCCTATTCAGCATGCAACACACACAGTAGTTTTTTCCCAGCTCCATTTAAATGGAACCAATCAAGGGGTGCATGCATTTATTGCCCAAATCAGGGATCCGGATGGAAACATATGTCCTAACATTCGAATAGCTGACTGTGGTCATAAAATTGGCTTAAATGGGGTCGATAATGGCCGTATCTGGTAATAATAATAACATTAATTCCTAGTAAATGAATTTTATCTAATCAGAGAATAGAAGTTTCTGGACACTTTCTTTCAGGTTTGACAATGTGAGAATACCCCGAGAGAATTTGTTGAATTCAGTGGCCGATGTTTCACCAGCTGGAGAATATTTTAGTGCAATAAAAAATGCAGACCAGGTTATTAATTTCTTAATTCTCTTTGGTATGCTTGTGTTTGTTTTTTTTATTAGTAAGCCTGCTCACACTATTGTATGTCATTCTTGTTCTAGAGATTTGCAGCATTCTTGGCCCCTTTGACCTCTGGTCGTGTATCTATTGCTGCAAGTACTGTTTACATCTCCAAGGTAAAGTGATTTGGCATTTCACCTTAATACGTGAATTTTATCAGTTATATATATATCATCCTCTAGTTTAAATTTAAAAACTTACATTTAATTTTATTTTTTATTTAATTTATATTTAACGAGTAATTTATTATTTTAATAACAGTTTAATATAAATTAAATAAAAAGTTCAGATACACTTTGAAAAATATTTTTTTCTTATATATTTATAATTTTTTTTTGTGTTCACCAAACTCATACTGAATTAACATTTTACATTATCATTTATTCATTTGCGGTTGCTAGATTAGCCTAGCCATTGCTATAAGATATGCATTGACAAGGCGGGCATTTTCCTTTTTACCAAATGGGCCCGAAGTTTTACTGCTTGATTACCCAAGTCATCAGCGGCGTCTGTTACCTTTACTTGCAAAGATGTAAGTCCTCCAATGGTTAACTTCATAGAAAATATTATAGTTCAAGTTTCTGATTTTTTTAGTTTCTCTTTTTATGGTGTTACATTGTGCTTTGTTGAACTTCTATGGTTCGGTAAAGTGAGGCAATAAGCTGTTTGAACTTCAATCTATGCTGTTGGTTTTTCAGAAGTGATCATGAATTTAGTAGAAAGTCACTATCCTAGTTTGACCAGTGGTAAATATAATTGCTTGAAGTAGCACCCGTTTATTCTCATCTCTTTCCTCTTTAATATTTGCAGCTATGCAATGAGTTTTGCAGTGAATGTTTTAAAAATGATGTATGTGAAAAGAACACCCCAGTCAAACAAAACCCTTCATATTGTTTCTAGTGCATACAAGGCTACTTTTACATGGAATAGTGCACGAACACTTCAGGTAAGTGTTGCCATTTTAGTTGGGTTTGATAGCTATATGATATTGGTCTCACCAAGGTTCTATGTATTACGCATGAGCAAGGAATGTCGTGAAGCCTGTGGAGGACAAGGCTTTAAAACCGAAAACCGTATTGGTCATTTGAGGGGTGAATTTGATGTGCAATCAACATTTGAGGGGGACAACAATGTTCTGATGCAGCAGGTAGGATAGTGTATTTTATTAATTGTGAAATCTAAATTAGGCTCATGTTTACTAGATATGGTTTCATGTATTTAATAAATCAGACGCATTATGACTTCACCAGGGAGTGTTTTACGATTTTTGACATACCCACTTATGTGGCATGAAGATTATTATTATTGTCATATTTGGGAATCTTTCCACTCTTCTTTTTTCAATATTAACGGATAAAAAATTTATGGCTTTTCAACTCAGGTCAGCAAGGCACTGTTTGTAGAATATATTGCAGCTCAAGCTAAAAGCAAGCCATTTAAAGGTTTGGGATTAGAACACATGAACAATCCTTGGCCTGTCATTCCATCTCAGCTAACATCCTCTACCATCAGGAGCAAGGAATTTCAGGTAACATCATTTTATTATACCTATTCGTAATTGGAATGGACAAGTAGAATCTTACTCTTTTTTTCCCTTGCCTTATTACTCAGATTGATCTGTTTCACTTAAGAGAGCGGGATCTATTGAGACGTTTTGTGGACGAGGTATCACAATATCAAACACAAGGAGAAAGCATAGAGTCTGCCTTCGTTCTAGTGAGGAATCTACCTGGTTCCGTTAATAATTTGCACACCCTTTTATTGTCTTAAGAGTTTTAAACTTTTCTTTCTCTCAGAGTTATCAGCTTGCTGAAGACTTGGGCAGAGCTTTCTCTGAACGAGCAATACTGCAAAACTTCATGGAGGCCGAGAGTACTTTACCACCTGGTTCATTGAAGGTAACTCTTGGGATTTCTTTTCAATATTCCTAACATAATGTCCCCTATAATCGGTAAAGATCTTTAATATTAGTTACACAAGATGTGTTTTTCATCAACTTACTTTTGCAATATCATTGAATCATGTGCAGTGTTGACATATATATTATTTAAGAAATTAATTATAATAACAATTGTGTTAGTTTTAATTATGTGACTTGTAAAACAAAACAAGTTTGTAGACAGCTTATGTTTAGAAAGCATATCATTTATAAGGAATATATGAATTTTCTGATGACTGGGATAAAGAAGTGAAAAAGATCCATTTTACTAATATTTTGGACGTGTCTCCTTTTGTAGAATGTCTTAGGTGTATTGAGATCATTGTATGCATTGATTAGCGTGGATGAAGATGCATCCTTTCTCCGGTATGGATACTTGTCAACAGAGAATGCTTATGCGGTGAGGAAAGAAGTGCCCAAACTCTGTGCTGAACTTCGACCGCATGCACTTGCCTTGGTCAGTTCCTTCGGTATTCCTGACGCTTTTCTCAGCCCTATCGCATCCAACTGGCTCGATTCAAATTCTTGGTCTTCTGTTCAGTAATAATGGCTCATACAAGTTTACATCACAGTTGGGTGGTTATTTAAATTTCACGTGATAAAAATAAATGTGAGCCATTCAAGTGGCCTAAATCGAACTCAAGTGACTGAGTTCTCAAACTTTTATTTATTATTATCACACTTTTTTAATAATGTTTAAAAAATATTTACTAAAAACTTAACTTAATAGGTGAAAATGCCTAAATGAAAAAGACGATAAAAATAAGCTTGAAATAAATTTAAAAAGATGTGAAAATAAATGTAAACTCAATTTATACTGATTTCATTATTTTTAATAGCCTACATCAAGTCTCCTAATAACTTGTTTGAGAGTTTTATTAACTTTGAAGTCTTAAGAGATCTCTCAACTAACTTATTTAGAGTGTACTCTTATTTTATCAAAGGATGTCTTACCCTTTTACACAATCTTAATAAAAAATATAAGAAATTACTTCATAATTAAAGAAGATATTATAAATTGAAGTGTCAAAAAATTTCTCAAATAATAAGAGTTTTGGCCTCAAATTTGACGAAAATATTGAAGATTGAAAATAAAAAGTTAATTGATCTTTGTAATTTATTTTTTTATGTTATAAAATGTGTTAAATGATGAATATTTAATAACAAAATCATGTAGATCGTTGGAGATTAATTTCAAAAGACACGTTTCTTCAAAAACACATATTTGCATATTTTTAAGTCTAGTAATTAATTATATGAACTAATAATTACACAGTTTAAATTTTAAATTTGGAAATAATCAAATTCTAATAATAAATTATAATGATCAATTATACAAGAAGAAATTTAAACTTTAGGTATATGAACAACATGGTAATCAATTATAGCATTATAAAATTTGAAAACTAAATATCAAACATATTTTAAGTCATTTTTCACTTTAAATGTCTTTTAAATATTTTCTTTCAAATTAAAATTTTTTTAGTATCAAACTTGTTTTATATTTTTTAAAAGAAACTTGTTTTTTTTTTTGAAAAAATTAATCCAACTTGACAACTTTAATAAACTTAACAAGAGCTAAATAATTTTATTAAATAAAAGTACTTTAACAAAATAACCTTATATATACGTGTGTGTGAAAAATATCAGCCTATAAACTCTAGTAACAAAATTTAAAATTCAAAAATTAAAAAACAAAGTAATACACTATTTTATATTTTTTAATACATTTTTATATAATTTCTAATAAACCCTTAGTATTTATTATTCTTTAATTAATATCTTAAGATACGTGTTAACATGACCTTATATATGACATGACCAAATATATAATCATACTTGTAAAAATTTTACATCGACATTCCTCTCGTCAACTTTTAAAGGTGGGTAATTAAACAAATCAAGATTAACTTAGAGCCATTTGTTTTAAGTTATTTTCATGATAGAAGTGTTAATTTTTTTATAATCACTTTTTGGTTTTCAAAATTATTTGGTTAAGATTATAAAAAAAATTAAAAGTTAAAAATAGTCTGATTTTAGCTTTTATAGATATGCTATGTTGAATAGCTTTTAGAATAAATTATAATTATAATTACTGAAAAACATATAAAGTAATTTTTATAATTGTAATCAAATAAAAATAAATTCAAATTTTTATTAAAATATATGGAGATTACACTACTTTTGTAATAAGAAATAGTCGTGACATGTTTAAAATATTTTTTTTCAACTTTTGATGATCAGATAAAAGTATATACTAAACCTTCTACCAGAGAATAAATCAAGATTATTAAATGAGACTAACATAACATTTTGATTCCACAATAAAGATAATAGTTAAAGAGAATGTAAAGTGAATATAATTCCCTTAGTTGGATAATCACTCAATACACAGCGTCAGGGTTTAGTTAGATGGGCATGCGTGCCTCATCTACTTTGGGTTGTCCACGTTTTGAAGAAAATAACAAAATTGTCCTCAGGAATCTCAATCAGCACCTTCGTTGACATAAATTATAAAAAGGTTACGAGGATGGCAGACAATTGGACGATTAAGAAACATGATTATGACATCTCACATTAATCACATTATTTTACAAAATAAAAATTGCGATGACATACTCATTTAATAATCGACATTATAAAAATCATTATAAGCTTTATCAACATCGTAACGAAATTGTAGATTATTCGTTACTTTTGATTACTGGCCATATTCACTGTACTCAACAAACAAACAAATGTAAACGTCATATGAGCCTTGCTGAGTTGAATATGTAAGACATTTTTAGGCACTGAAAAGGCCAAGCGAGAATGTGATAAAGTAATAGAAACGATTGAATCTTCTCTCAAACAACACATGTTCAAAGTACAAAATGCATGTCCTTGAGAACAGTCAAAAAAACAGTTTAGCTAGGAATTAAAAGTATTGTGTATAGATTCTACTCTATTGCCACGTGGTTAAAGAAGGCCAAACACCAACAGAAGAACTTGGGTGTCAAAGCCGTCGACAAGCACAACAAATTTCATCATAAAGTCCGACGTTAGGTGCTGAAAATCTACCAGGTTTCGTCTTCCGTGATATGAGATCCCATCTTCCGAAAATTGATGTCAGTTCCAGAGAGACAAAGGATACATGCACTGAATTGGTATAGAGAGCCCATCTCTGTAGCAAAATACCTTCATCTTCGTCCTTGGAAAAGAATTCAACTTCATAACCATTCTGCAAGACCACATTTTTGTTATAGTCATGCTCATGCGAAGTGAAAACACCACATTTTTCAACAACTGACTCAAGTTAACATTAAAAAAACTGATTTTATGCACACATATGACCCACAACAGCCAGAGCTTTGTGCATTAGGCTTCCCTTTTGTAGATATGGAAAGTTATATGATTAATGACAAGTTCAGTTGTCTAAATTCACTCTAAAGTAGAAACAGATTGGTCATATACTCATCATGCTTGTAAGCATATAGACGCGTTCAAAACATGTGACGGAAACAATATAAAAGCCACTTACTACACAGTAAACAAGAGTTATAAAAAAATTGCCGGATTACTATGCTTAAAATACACAGTACACCCTCTTAATTATGTACTCCACCCCTGCACTTCTTTAGATAGTCTCTAAGCCAAACTAAGGAAGCAGATGCAGAATCAAACAATAAAAGATCTACAGCATGGCACATGATACGTTCTATTGTACCACCCAGCTGGAGAACCAAAGGTAAAAAATAAAAAAAGTCAATATTGTATTGGTTCCTTCGAAAAGTGCGGTGTGCTGGTGTAGGCACCAGAAACAACACTAACCCCTTATTTGTAAGGCTTTTGAGTGAGAAACATTTCACAACAAGTTTCTTTAACATGCTCCACATTTTATCCAGTAGAATCTAAAATAAATATTCACCAAACCATCCAACCCCGCAACTCTCACACCAAGAAACATGAAAAACAACAACTTGGGATCCTCTTTCTAAAGCATTTTTACTCTCAACCCCTTAACACGTAAAATAACTATATTTATAAAGCTCCCAAATTCGCTCATTGCTAAAAACTAAACCCCGCCCCCTCTCCCATGAATTATTCTAATTAAAATAAGCACATCCAAACCCTAAAAGGCCAATCATAATTCTCATCTGGCCACCACAAACAATAACCAAAGCAATACTCCAATCATAATAATTATCCTAAAGAGATGATTACATATATAGCATATCCATATCGCCACAGGAGTTGGTACAACCTACCTACAAACACCCCCATGAAACAACAACCCGGAACACAAAAGGAAGAAAAAAACAATAATTGGCCAAAGAAAGACACACAAATCCTAAAATAATCGAAAAGAAGAAAAAAAACAATAAAATTAACATACCATGATCCACTCGAACTCGGTCGGTTCCCACGACCCACGATCCCCACATCAGGCCCACCACCCTTCCTCATCCTCTCGTGCCCACCCGATTTGGGTCGACCGTTTTCCCTGAACCGAACCGGTTCAGGTCCAGGCCCTTCCTCCCTCGGCACAAACCCGGGTCGAAGGTGCGGCGGCACAAACTTATCCGTCTTCGGCGGCTGCGGAGAGGGCAAGTCCTTCTCTTTATCGTGGTTCAGAACAGAAACCGACGAAAGAGACGACCCAGTTCCGGTTCGGCCCAAGGGTCGCAGCGAGATCGCTTCGGATCCCGGTTCCGAGGGAGGTTGATCGGGTAACTGCTTCTGGATCGGGTTAGAGGGTGGCGGTGTGGGAGGTGCAACGGGTTTGGGCGTGGGTCGGGTTAGAACAAGGATTCGGCCATGAGGTTTGTTGGGGGCAGAAACAGAGGAATAGGAAGCGGAAGAGTAAGAGGAAGAAGAAGAAGAAGAAGAAGACGGAGAAGGAGAAAGAGAAGGGTTCTTCGGTTGGTTGGTTTTTTCGTAGATGTGGTTGAAGTTAATGGAAGCGTATTTGTTGTTTTTTGCCATCCACCACCTTCCTGAGAGAGAGCAGATCCAAAAATGGCTTCCACAGAATGCAGCAACAGAGGAATCAATCAAACCAATTGTGCAAATCGCGATTGTTATTTCCTTCTTCAAAACATAACCACCAATTGGGCTTGCTGGTTTTTCGGGCTTTATTTAACCTTTTAATTATTTAGGCCCAGTTTCTGCCCTATAGTACTCATGCAATCCATTTTTTAGCCCAATAAGTTCTCCATTTCTTGGAAAATATGCAATGCTATCATTTTTTGTTTTTGGTCAGTGTGCTGTCATCTATGTCAACTAAGAACGCATTGTTTTCTTTTTTCTCTCTCTCTTTTGCTCCAATTTGCATAGGTCTGTGTTATTGGCCCCCACACTCTTTCTTGTGTCTATTATACATCAAACAACACCACGTAAAGGATGGGTTGTGCCCCTTCATCAACAATAACAATAAGAATGTAGCATTTGCCTACATATTTATTATCTGAATTTACTGTTCAGGTACTCAAATCAGAGTTTGTTGACCTGTTGAGTGGGTCCACTAGTCTGCTAAATTAAATTAAAGAGATTATATTAATTTGATCTAGCAACATGTCTAATCTATCTCAAAATGAATAGGGGCAAATTTGAGTCGAATCAGATTGTTGGGCTAACTTCTTGTAAAAACAAAAAACATTAACTTGGGCCAAGTAAGTAGGATAAAAAACAACCCACTTGAACTTGGCTCATCATTCCCTTATCTCACGCCTCAAATTTCAGTTTATCGTCACGCCTCTTTCCTCCTTTTGTCACCAGTCACCTATTGTTCAATTTACATAATAAAGGTTATATTTAAGTTATGATAACGATTCTTTAATTATTGAAAGAAGAAATGTACGATAAAATTTTTTAAGATAAAACAGTCCAGTTTTTGAAGTATTTGTTCATTATGGATTGATATAGAATATTTACTTGTAGAGATACAACGTGTTGAGTGCTGGACATGGCCTTGTCCAATTGGCCAAGGTGACTCAATAATTTAATCAGATTATATCACTGTATTTCTGACAATGATACTCAATGATATTACAGAACATACATAATGTCTTAAAATTGATTATTTAGTGGTTAATGTTATCCCACATGTTCTGTCTACATATGCCAGCCTGCCAACCACTATTATACAACTGTTGGTTGTCCAAACTCCCAACTTGTGCATCGATTTGATGTATTTTCTTCAACGGCCCCCTTGTGCATAATCATTTAATGAAGAATTATACAATTCGACCTATTGAAACGATACTAAAAAAGTTAATTTGTTAATATGACTTTTTTTAGAATGAATATGTTAACATGTTATAAAAATTTATTAAATGTTTTAAAATATAAGCAAAGGTCATTAACCTATATAAATGCCGCTATATTTTCACTTTTATGAAGAATATTTTAATAAATTACTCCTTGAATTATTAAAATACTCTTAACATGCTCCCAAATACAAGTAGGAGTGCCACCATCTACTCTATATATATTTTATTTGGGTAACTACCTAATAAATGGACAAGTGGTAACCAAAAATACATGCACACACGCCAACACAAAGCATACCGGCAGGTGAGGAAAAAAAAAGACAAGGAACAAGAAAGAAACTTGGGTCACTGTAAATATTAGGTTTGACTTGATCTCTGCTAGCAATTCATATCCACGACTTTCTGCTTGCTTCATAGAGCATCATCACAACGTTTTCCTATGATTGCAGCCAATGTTAAAACTTAAAAACTATTTCTTATTGTAAAACTTGATGTGAACCGATTTCACTTTCATTCTTTATTCTTTTTCTCTCGTGGCAAGAGGAGACGATTCTTCTCATGTTTCCTTCATCCGTGTCCATTATAACTTTTTGTGCATTTTCTGGTTCATTTGTCAACTAAGGGAATTGATATTGATATATGTGTATATATATTATTTGCAAACCACGAGCCAGCTCATGCCAACAAAGTCTCAACCTAACACCCTATCCAAATAAAACCCCCTCCACACCACACCACACACCATCATCATCATCATCACCCTCTCTCTTCCACTTCACTCACTCACCAACAATTGCAACATGGCTTCCACACCTCTCACACTCATTCTCTTCATCACCCTCTCTTCTTTCCTCCTCCACCTCTCTCCTCAAGCCCAAGCCCAAGCCCCAGCACCATCTCCCTCTGGCCCACTCAACCTCACAGCAATCCTTGAGAAGGGTGGCCAATTCACCACCTTGATCCGTCTCCTCCAAGACACACAACAACTCACTCAAATCCAAAGCCAACTCAAGTCTAACTCACAAGGCTTCACTCTCTTTGCTCCTACCGACAATGCGTTTCAGAACCTCAAATCAGGGGCCATAAACGACCTCACAGATGAGCAAAAAGTGCAACTCATTCTCTACCACGTGACACCAAAGTACTATTCCCTCTCTGATCTCTTGACAGTGAGCAACCCCGTGAGGACACAAGCTTCTGGAAGTGATGGGTCATGGGGCCTTAACTTCACAGGCCAAGGAAACCAAGTGAACGTGTCCAGTGGTGTTGTGGAAACCCCTATCAACAACGCATTGAGGGAGAAGTTCCCGCTTGCGGTTTACCAAGTGGACAAGGTTTTGTTGCCAATGGAACTTTTTGGAGCAAAGTCTCCTTCTTCAGCTCCTTCTCCTAAGTCTTCCAAAACTACCCCTGAAATCCCCAGCACAGCCAAGGCTAGTGGAGCTCCATCGCCTTCAGGTGGTAGCCAGAACGATAATGGTGTGGCTGAGAGGAATGTGGGTGTTGGTGTGATCTTTGGGCTTGGGTTGATTTGCATGGGAGTTCTATCTTGATGCATGATGCGAAAGAGAAAACTTATGTTTGATGTTTATTATCTTTCTTTTTATCTCTTTTGTTTCTCTCATCACGCTCTTCATTTGTTCTTCCTTGTCATTTTTCTTCTACGGGCAAAAGGAATTGTGTTGGGTTTGAAATGAGCCTCATTCTTTGTATTTAATGCCTTTTTTTTTACATGTATTTAATGCTTGTCTTATATTTTGGATCCCATTGGTTATAAGAAAAAGATTTACCTACTTTTGTTTTGAATCATGCTTCATTTCTTTTTCTTTTGAATATGAATAACATAATAGTTTGATTATTTGAATATTTACAAATTAATATATGATATTATATATTTTTATTTCTATTTCTATTTCTATCTTTATTGCATTCAACGATAGAATCCGGTCATTGGCTTTGTAAGTTTTAATTAAGATGGATTGCGCGTAAATATTGTCATTTTATGGTAGAATTAATTTTTTAAAATTAAATAAAATATACTTTTTAAGAGATGCTTAAATTATATTTTTTTCATTTTTATATTTTAAAGGTTGCACTTTATATATGACAGTTTGGTATAATTTTTTTTTTCAATTATAAATTCTGTCATTTGAAGAACTTCTCCTTACATAAACACGCATATTTATTTTCCCAATTAAGAATTCTATTTTGAGTTTATCATTTTTCTTTTATTGTAGATTCCGCAGTTGTCTGTGTCTGTCCATAATATTTTGTGCTCCACTGTATAATGACATTAATGAACTCCAATAATCAAGTTACCGTCTCACATCATGATCATTCTCATGGGAGGTAAAACATCAAAATGTGATCTTTAGAAAAGGATGGGAGTAAAATCCAATTATATGGATGAAGAATACACCGTTTTCCAATATTATAAAAAATGCACTTTCTGAGCTGGTAATTAACCCATCGATGACATAATTTCTTTTCTTTTCTTTTTTCAAAAGTATGTGCATGTTGTTTTGACTTGTTCAAACTGTGAATGGGCAACTCTGACCTCAACTTAGCTGAGATGAAGTACTGTGAATGGGCTACTGCATCTGAATACAAGTAATTAATTATTATCCCGTAATGGTCCCCGATTCAACTTGTTAATAGTCTAATAATGCTAGTAAGCTTGCATGTGTAGACATGCAAACAAGGCTAAACAAATATTTTGCTCTTCCCCAAGTTTAAATTTTTTTTTTTATTGCCCGATAGTTGAATAAGCAAATATTGAGAATTTAAACTTTAAGAAATTAAATCACTATGTACAAAATTAAGTTAACAACACATTTACTTAAAAAAAAAAAGAGGCTAACAACACACTATTTTTAACGCAGACTTAACTACTAATTAAAATTTATCAAAAATTATAAAAGTATAAATAAGTTAAATATAAAATGAGAAAAAAAAAGACTAATAAAATTTTGTCAATAATTAAGAATGTGTGCTATTAATTTTTATCTAAAAAAACATGCGATACCAATTTAAAACATATTTGTGTTTGTAATTATAATTAAAAAAATTATCTTAACTTATTGTAAAAAAAAAAATGATTGTCTCACCCATATTATATGAAAACATGTGAAGTGGGTATGGAAAAGAGAGAAATAAATAGAATTATAAGAGACTTGAAAAGTAATATGACATAAAATATATATATATAGAAATAAATGTAAGAGAATAAAAAATATTAAGATAACCATATCTTTTAATATATTTTCACACAGGATAGTTGATAAAATTTTATTTTCTTAGACTTTGTTTGGATTTTACATTGAGGATGAAGGAAAGGAGAAAGAAGTGATTAGTAATTATTAATATTTGTAAGTTAATTAACTATGAGAAGAAATGTAAGAGAGTTTCTTAAATTTTCTTGAACTCTCTTAACCTTATTTTTTTATACTTTGTTTGGATGTCTAAAGGAAAAGAGAAGAAAAAGGTTTGAAGGAAAAAAGAGATGAGGGAAAAGAAGCTTAAATCTCAATCTTTTTTGGATGTTTAACATTGAGAATAGAAGGTGGTGAGAATTTAATTATATAAATAATATTATTATTTTTTAAATTTTTTATTTGTATTTTTTATTTTTTTAAAAGTAAAAAATAATAATTTTCTTTCTTTATAAATTAATTATTTTATTTTATAATTTAAAAATTTTCTTTAAAACTAATATATTTTGAAAAAAATAGAATCTTGATCTACGAGAGTGTAAGAGAGAGAATAACTCAACAAGACAACTCAAAAAACTTAAAGGGTTATGAAAATTTTCTTAACCTTTTTCTTCTTAATTAAGTAACTTTCAAATAAGATTAATCCTCGTTAAACCCTCTTTTCTCATCCTCCAAATATGAGATCCAAACATAATTCAAGTTATTATATTTTTGAAATTTTAGCATTTTATGCATTGAAATTTATTATTTATATTTCTATCTGTTAGATTAAATATTTAATATGATCTACAGGTAGAATAGTAATTTTTTTAAAATATTAATTTTTAGAATGAGAATTTTTTAAAAATTATAAAACATACAAATATTAAATTTAAAAATATTAATTTTTAAAAAGAAAATATGTAATTTTTTAAAAAAAAGATGTACAAATAAAAAAATATAAAAGATTAATAATATATTTTATATGTTAAATTTTCTATTATATTTTCTTTATATTAAACATTCAAATAAAAAATATATTTACTTTTTCTTCTCTTTCCTTCTTAAGTCATTTAAACACTTTCTTTTCTTCTCTTATCAAAATCTGAAACAAAATTTTAAGTTTCATTACAAGATACTTTGAAATGGAAGAAAAGGAACAACTCTAATTTTTTGTTTAAAAAAGATAAATGGACACATTTAGCAAAGGTCTTACTGATACACCAGTGAGGTCCGCTTTAGATTTGGGTCGGACGTGAGAGTTCTTTTTTCTTAATTTTTTGGTTCAGGGGATGTCAGAGTTCTTTTTTGTTATTGAGCCATGGCCTTCTTGTTTAATGAGCCTTTGGGGATCCACAGAGCAAATGGCCCAGCCCGATTGATACTCTCTCTCTGTGTGTCACGTGTCCCCTCTGAACCACCGGTTTTCTTGATGTAAAAGTTAAAACCCTACAAAAGAAGCTGCATAAACCCCACACCTGCTAATCATTTCCTCTTATCGCCGTTCATCGGAATTTCAGTGGTATTTTCCTTTCCATTTTCCTTAATTTTCCCTTTTTTTCCGTAGAAGATCTTCTCGGTATGAAATACTAACTATATTGGCTCCTTTCTCGATCAAATGAATGTTTCAATTCTGCTTTCGTCCTAATTGTTGAGAGTTTTCTAAAAACTAAAAATCGATTAACATTTTTCATTCGTTCATTGATTAAGGATCATGCGTGTGTATGTGTGTGTGATTTTTTTTTTCTCTGTGAAATCTGCAACTATAATTGATTTCATTTGCATTTGCATTTCTCTTTAATCAGGAAAAATGAATATGAAGAACATGAAAGTTCCCAACGTTCCAGGTGGTGGTGCGGCCTCTGCCCTGCTGAAGCTGGGGGTTGTTGGTGGAATTGGCTTGTATGCAGCTGCGAACAGTCTCTACAATGTTGAAGGAGGGCATCGAGCTATTGTTTTCAACCGTATAATTGGTGTCAAAGACAAGGTTATTGTTTCACCATATTATTGTTTATCATATGAACAAAGAATTGAAAGTGGTTTGCATTTACTCAATACGGTGCCAGTGTTTGTCATCTGGAAATTATTGTTGCGGTTTTTTCTGTTACAGTTGGCGTTTTTCAAAAGAGCTATTTATCTTCTCCTTTTATGTGTTATAAGTGTTGCCGATGGCCATGGTTTAATTTCTTCCCTTTTAGTTTTCCATTTTAAGTTTTCTTCTGTTGTGGATGATGTGATAATAACATTGATAATTTGGTTAATATGCAGGTTTATCCTGAAGGGACTCACTTTATAATTCCGTGGTTTGAGAGGCCAGTCATCTATGATGTCCGTGCACGACCCCATCTAGTTGAGAGTACGGCAGGGAGTCGTGATCTCCAGATGGTAATTATATTTTGCTAAGGCATGTGTTATCATGGAGATATGATTTTGCTATCAAATTCTTACAATCCTTCTCCTGCCTTTTCCTCCAAAAAGGAATCCCAATCTTAATCACAATGTTATCTTGAAAATGAAATGGAGTATCTTTATTGCTTTCCTCTTGATTTGGGAAAGGACTTTCTTGTTATTAGCTGTTGTTTTGGCATTGGTTTTTCTTTATTTGTCCCTCTGTTCTTTTGTTCTTTTTATGGTATGTTTGTGTCCACATTATATGTATCATTCTTTTATACATTATTCTTACTGGACCAAAAATTGTAGTTAACAAAGTAATATTCTCACCTGATATTTGTTCCATTATGTTTCACCATTGACATGATTGCCACAAGTGTGAAGCATAAATTGCATTCGGATTGTATAAAGTGCATATTTTACTATTCTAGACATATGAAATTTTATACAAATAGGAATTTTGATACCAGTTCTTACCTGTATATGGATTGTGAAGGCAATATTTAAGATTATGCATGATTGCTATTTGCCTATTTATTGTTGCATAATGTGAGTGTTTTGTTTTTGTCAAGATTTACATTATCAAATTCAAATAATAAGATTTGACAATATAATTGAATCTGTTGTAATTTTGGCACTTGAATATTAGATACTGATAACTGAAGATAATTGTTTATCTCAAAGACTATTTCAAATTTCAAATGATGTAACAGGTTTGCATCACCTCTCATTTGGCGTTTTAAAGTAATTTGCTTCTGAAATTTTCAAGCTATTTTTGACATCTGTTAGTGGCTTTTAAGTCTGAATGTCTTATGGCAAATGCTTCCTCAGTATCCGTACACTGGCCTCCAATTGGCCTTTCAAATTTAGCCTCCGTTTTTTATGGATGAAGATATCTGTATACACTCATCTTCCATCACTATCGGCATGTCATCCTTTCTTCCACTGTCCTGGGGTGTTCTCTGCTGTTTTAATCTCTTATAAATCCTGTGAATGATAGGATGTTGGGAGATATAATCTCTTGGTAGAAAGTGTTTGATTTCAAGAAACTGATTTTAAAATGTGCATCATTGACCTTTTTGTAATTGTGCATGCTTGTTGTACAGGTGAAAATTGGACTTCGAGTACTTACTCGCCCTTTACCAAGCCAATTGCCAACAATTTATCGGACCCTTGGAGAAAATTTTAATGAAAGGGTTTTACCTTCAATCATACATGAAACTTTGAAAGCTGTGGTTGCCCAGTACAATGCCAGCCAGCTTATTACTCAGCGAGAGGTGAGGACCAATGCTTATCTTTGTGATGCATGAAAGCTCAAATAACTATTTAAACAAGGTTGCTAGTTGCTGAGAGGTGTCAAAACTTAAAATAATTTTTTTCAACACTTAGAAGCTCAATGGAATGAATGGATAAGTGCTAGGGTTTTGACCATAAAACTATTCTGCCATAATCAGTAATCTTAAGTATGATTTATTTTCAGGTAAACTAGAGTAGTATCATTGCTTATTTTGTTTTGTTTTCATCCCTCTGAATTTCTTTTAGGTTCGTGCATTGTTTTCTTAGTTGACTTGAAAGATTCAGTTCCAGCACAAAAAGATTGTGTTTTAATTGACCTCCTTCACTGTAGGCTGTTAGTCGGGAAATCCGGAAGATTCTGACTGAGAGAGCAGCTAACTTCAATATTGCCCTTGATGATGTGTCAATTACTAGTCTGACCTTTGGCAAGGAGTTTACTGCTGCAATTGAAGCCAAGCAGGTGGCTGCACAAGAAGCCGAGAGGGCCAAATTTGTTGTGGAAAAAGCTGAGCAAGACAAGAGAAGTGCTGTTATTAGAGCACAGGTGAGGATAAGTCATTACTCATTAGTGCTTAGATGCAATTAATGCTGTGGTGCTTAGTACAAGTTTCTGGAATTTTTATATGTTAAATACAGCTTGTATACAACAGAAACTATTTCCCTTGTTAGAGTATACTGCCATTGTTCTGACTTGGTCTTGTTCTGAAACAACCCCAAAAAACTAGGCAAAATTCGTGATCTTTAGTTCTCTTGATCATGATGTTTGGTAGCTAAGTGACCTTGTTCATAAATCTACTGCCTAGTGTGATCTATATTTCATACATATCAGACCACTTTTGCTTCCTAAATATTATGTTCTCCTAATCTCTCTTACGTCCCTTTAATCAACAGGGTGAGGCAAAGAGTGCCCAACTGATCGGGCAAGCTATTGCCAACAATCCAGCTTTTATCACACTGAGGAAGATAGAAGCAGCAAGAGAGATTGCGCATACTATATCAAATGCAGCAAACAAGGTTTTCCTGAATTCAGATGATCTGTTGTTGAATCTCCAGGAGATGAAATTGGAGCCAAGCAGAAAGTGAGCTGATTTCTGATTCTCTTTAGTTTCTTAACATGTAAACAATGAATTCCAGGATATATTTTGTTGAAATGTCTTAGCAAATTCGGATATATTTGGCTTGACCAGAGAGGTAGCGGTAGCCTTTTAAATCTTTGGCAAAGGATTAGTTGAGATCCAAACAAATGCTTCACATTACATAAAATGAATGAAATACTTTCAGCTATTGTGTGGCGTCCTGATTTTACATTGCTGCCTAATTGGATTGTCAAATTTTAATTATTTGCTTAGTGAATATTAAACAAGGTGCTAGAGACAAGGAGTAAAACATCTTTTTGGTATATAAAACATTTGGAATCGATCTAATTACTTCTTAAAAGGACTAAATTGCTCGAATTCTTTTAGTCTTGAAGTCTGAAAATAGTAATTTTCATCGACATAGAACTAATGTGACTGAACTTGGGATTATGATGATGTTTTACTCTCAAGACAATATTTGTCCAATGATAAATGAGTAGATTTGATTCAAATATGCATCTTGTTATATCGTCAATTGGTTGTACTTTGCCTGAGACTATTTGGCTTGCACTTCACAGTTTTCCTCTTACTGTTATGTTATGGCTCTGCTGCACTGTCTGATCCATGGTTTTCGTTTACATGAATATGTATATGCATTTTTTTATGAGACAATGGTATATGAACCATAGTATTCTTATTTATGTATTTATATATATATGAACAATTTTTGTTTTAGATATTTATTACAATATTGTTTTTTAGATAAATTGTTATATGAACACAGCATAGATCCCCTTTTACAATCTCATGATAAAAAAGCTCGATCGGATTTCCTAATTCGACCGGTATTCTGGAAAATCGGCAAGTCACTATTTTAGACAAGTTAAAAACGAACAGAAATAATATGAGAGAACATGACCGCAATAGGCAAAGCTGATTTTATTTTTATTTTTTTAACTTTTATAATTTTTTATTTCATAAATTTTAATTTAAGACAAATAGTAACCTGTTTATATTGTTTACATAAGCATAATTATTGAACTTTTAATTATTAACTTTTATGCTGCAGGATATAAACTGTGATTTTTTATGTTACTTCAAATTAATTTTATTTTATCGTTTCTTAAGATTTCATGAGTTGATTGCTTAATATAATATTAAAAATATATGTTTGATTATCACTAATTTAATTATGAACTAATAAATCATAAATCAATATCATCTTTTATAATAAACTGTTATTTTTTGGTCCAACAACACGAGGCATAAAAAGCACACATTCCCCAAAATCACTAAATATTAAAACTACCATAAGTTCTCGAAGAAGACCCTGTACTTGCTGCAGCATCCGATGCTAGCGCAGCCGCAGCAAGGTGGCGTAAAGACCCAGTTAGACGCATGGAAATTCAGCTGCAATTATTATATTGATTTTTTAACGTATAAAAAAATAGTAAGCTTTTATTAAAAATATAATATTTAATATTTTTTATTTATTGAATTCTATAATATTATGTTATTTTTAATATATATATAGTTCTTTTCGTCATCTTTTATTACATCTCATACTTTTTCCTTTCTTTATCCATTCAGTGTTCATTTGATAGGTGTCATAATTATTTTCGATTCAGCTGAGCCGGATTTTAGAAGTTAAAATATTGCTTCTATATTATGATAGTTATTAGTTGTTAATTGATACAGAATCGATGTAAATAAGATGATGATAAATAAATAAAATTATAATAAAAACCCTGATGCCACCTCTTGATTTGCTTGATTCGTTACATATTCAACCCAAAACGTCATATAAAGAAAGTTTCAATTACTTATTTTGTTCTTTAAAGCTATCAATGTATGGGCATATTGGCCAATTGTCAATTAATTTGATATTGCACCACGTCATGCTTTGACGTATTGAATTTAATCAATTTACTTTTATGTGCCATGTTGATTTCATACACATCTTTTAAATATATTTAGCCAAGAAAAAAACTTGTGGATAAGTTTAACGAGTTCATGTACAGCGTCATTGCTATCGTAATGAGAGGAATCAAATATGATTTTGTGATGATATATGTCGTCTTGCAACAATCGATGCACAATGTATATGCCGTGGGTCGTGTTCGTTATTAACGTATGTATGTAAACTTGAATGTCAAGCCAACTTTGCTTCGTCGACTTTCTATAAGGATATGCAATGTTATCATATAAGACTTTACATTGACACCAATTAATATTAAATATAACATTATTTGTTTACAAATAAACAAAGGAGTTTAAAGGGATGCCATTTTTTTTCATTATATGCATTTTTAAGGATCACATATGTTGTGACAAATTCAGAGCAGAAATATATAAAAATGGAGACCAAAAGAATATAAAAATTAAAACGATATGGGTTTAAAATAGTATGTAATTTATTTATAGAAATTTGATATTTTTAATGCTTTTCATATTATTAAAGTCATCTTTTCAATATTTTATCATACAGAATTGGATGATGTAAGAAGTATAACATCGTGTAATAAATATTTTCCTTATAAATAGTGAGTAGTTAGAACTTGAATGTGTTGTGCACTACATGGATGAAGCATGACCCATAGCAAATTATCAAGAAATAGAAATACTATATTTCTAAGAAGAAAATTACGTAAAAAAATCTGCCGCATTTTACGAATATAAATGCGGTAAAATATAAATTTTAACATCATAATTAACTCGTAAAATTAAAAGTATGAAATTATAATTAAATCATATTCAAAATTATAATTTTTAAAACAAATAATATTGAAATAAATATAAACTGATGTTATAAAAATATCATTTGTTGATTAAGAAAATTTATTATTAATATATAATAGTATAAATTTAAAATATGAAATATCGAATTAGGTGAAGGTGATTTAGAATATAACCTAAATTTATTCAACAAATATATTATATCTATTTCTTAATTAATAGTCGATGCTATTAAAAACGATTTTGACTTAGGTTAACGGGACAACACATCTTAAACAGCCTACAAAATTATATTACTTATTCGAAAAACTTGTTTGTACCACGTCTCTTTAGAGAAAAAAAAAAAATGTAATCAACTTTTTCTTATTTTGTAACCAAAAAAGCTCTTTCTTTTTTTAGGGTAATGTACTCAAAAGACAGGCTATAAAAATGGAATTTAATCTTTAAGATTTTATTCAGAAATTTAGTGGAAGAGAGAATGAAAGAGTTTAAAGGGTAAGAAAGCGAAAGAAAATAAAGATTAATTGAGGATACAAAATTTAAAAAAATTTACAAAATTTAATGAAGAAACAAAATAAAAGAAAAAGCAAAAGAGAACTTAATCGTAACAAAAAATTATAAAAAAAAAAAAGACTCACAATTTTATAGGATGAATTAGAGTTTGTTTGTTATTAATTTATTTTTTAAGTAAAATAAAATAATTTTTTTTTTGCTATCCTATGTTTTTTTGTCATTTTCTTCTTAGAATGTTTTTAAATTATTGTATAATATAAATTTTAAAAATTAAAAATAAATTTTTATTAATTATTTTACTTTTTTTCAAAATTCCCTTAGAAAGAGAGAATTAAAAAAATAAAGCTAAGAAAATTTTAAAGTTCAGCAAATACTCTTAACTCTTTTCCTATTTTTTTAAACTCTCAAATAAGAGTTAACTATTCTCTTCCATTTGTTAAAATATTATCCAAACAAAGTCTACTGCTTTAATTTTTGTTTTTAAGTAATCCGCAAAAAGTCATAGTAACGTTGTCACACGTAAAACAAATATGCATTAATAGTAAGGAAAAAGTGTTATATATATACACACACATATATAAATTGATGTTTATATTTTTATAAAATAAATTAAAGAAAATAATACCTTTTTTATTATTTGATAAAATCAAATATAGATTTAATAATTATTTTTTTATTTTTATTATCATTATTTAACAAAAGATATAAAATTGATTTGATAATAAAATAAAAAACGGATCAAAATATATATGAATAGATTTCAATTCTCATGGTATTTACTTTTATAAGGAAAAATAATTGATAGGCATTGGTGAGAATATTTATACTTACAGAAATAAATAATAAATTGCAATATAATAAATAATAAAGTAAAATATGAGTCTTTCGTTATATTTTTAATTTTTATTATATAATACTATTAAAAAATATAACTTACTGATAGTAATTTTTATTAACATTATTATAATGATAAATATGAAAAGTTAATAAAACATTTTATATAAATATTAATATATGAGGTTTTTAATAATTAATTTATAAATAAGTGTTAATTATAAATATAATACATATATTTTTATTCAAAAATCAATTTATTTTAAAATAAAATTATATTAATCGATGTCTTAAAAATAATAATTTAACAAAACACGATAAATAATAATATATATTTTTATTCTTGAACTAATATCTTAAGATTATTGAGCGATGTTTTTATTTAAATAATATCAAACAGTCAAACAGATGGGGAGAGGTGGGGGCCATGTCGAAAGGTTCAAACTTCAAACGCAGCCTTGACGTCATCATTGTGTAAGCTTTCCCGGATACGTGGCGCAACACTACAGGGACCTGATGACGTCACAACACGTCACTGCATTATCTGTCCACGTGGAACCCACGGATCCTTACATTGCTGACGTCAACGACACACCGTTTGCCATTGCCACTTCCGTCCATTATCATCCACGGTTATTCCTATTATCCTTATAAATATAGTCCGAAAAATATTTATTTATTTATTTTAAAAGAATATTATTTAAACCTAAAATTATAATTCTTTTACAAAAATTAGAGCATTAAATGATTTTAAAAAGGAAAGTTACGAATCCTATATCAACTATAACACAAGGTTAAATTTATAAATTACTCAGAAAGGAACAATTACAAAGCTCCAACAAGTGAGATAGTAACTATGATATGCTTTTCTAAAACTATTTTACAGCTCTTTCTTAGGACTTTGTTAATTTTCTTTTAAATAAAATAATAGTGAAATTTTTATATATTTTGACACGGTTTCGATTTGTCATATATATATATATATATATTTGGAATCCATCGCATAAACTTAAACTCTTGAATAAAATTAATTATTTTTTTTCACTTTCCAACAATAATAGTACTCAGAAAATGTATATTTTATTAACTATTTATTTCATTAATCTTACCAAAAGGATCATGCTTGGCCGCGTGGAATAATGCGTCTCTTTTTCGGAATCTTATTTTTTTCAACAAAGCATTAACTGAATCCGTACTTAGAATATCTTTTACGTTATAAAATCAAGGGTGCTAAAACGTGGACCATGTTTTATTCCTTCCTTTCTTTTTCTTTCACATTTCAAATTTTATACAACAATTAAAAAATAGTTAGTATTCTAAATTTACAAAAATAAATGTTACATTAATAATATTAAAGGTTACACTTTTTAAAATATTTCTTTAAGGACAAAATAATGGTTGGTAAAACCATAAATATAATATATAAACTCTCGTATCTAGAAGAAAATTTAAATACAATGCTTTCCTTGGCACATCAATTAATAAACCCAAGTCATCACTGCTGTGTAAAAATTTGAATTGTATACGAAAGATTAAGGGAACACGGGGCATGCATTTTAAAACATAATAATAAAAAAGAATTAGCCCAAGTCCAATACTATGTGTACAACAAGAAACGTGAAAAGGACGTGGATAAATGAGGATGTAAATTAAATAAAATATCTGATCGCCCAAAAGACTAGAAATGAAGATGGAATTAATGTTGGGACCCAATTGGATATAAATTTAAAAAAAAAGGAATTTTTATATAAAAAATGAATAATAACAATGGATTATATAATATATATTATTTAAGATTAAACATGAAGCAGGACAAGTTGGGCGCCGTCCAAATCAATAAGTACACAAAATGCAAAAACAGAGGAGGGAGTGACAGAACCAACAACGTCAGCAACAACAACATGACCAAATGCCACCGCGTGACTTAGAATAATTTTTGCCTAATTGCCGTTGACGTAACCAGTAATGACCCTTTCAAATTCAATTCTCTTCATCACCATTTATATTCCACACACACCCTCTTCCAATTTCCATAACCATAACCATAAACACAATCATGCATCAAGCAATTCCCTTCCGATCATGGCGCCCTCTCCATAACCCCGCCACCCACTTCACCCCACTCCCATTAATTACACATTCCAACACTTGTCATCGTTATAACAATGATAACAACAATAACGATTCAGCCAAAGACATGGTGGTGAACATGGTTTCTGAGAACGCTGTTATAGTGATTGGGAGACGCGGCTGCTGCATGAGCCATGTGGTGAAGCGTCTTCTTCTGGGTCTTGGTGTCAACCCTGCGGTGCACGAGGTGGAGGAGGAAGATGAAGCAAGTGTTGCAAGAGAATTGGAAGAAGCCATTGATGATGATGGGGAAGAGAAGAGGGTGCAGTTTCCAGCGGTTTTCATTGGTGGCAAGTTGTTTGGAGGATTGGATCGTCTCATGGCTACTCATATTTCTGGTGAATTGGTTCCTTTGCTCAAAGAAGCTGGAGCTTTATGGCTTTGACTCTCCCTTATGTTCAATTACTCACTTTCATCACATTAATTGTATTCTTATTTTTATCTCATTTTTCAATCTTTTTTCTTCCTAGCTAGTTCTTGCTGTTAATTTCTCCTTTTTCTATTGTAATTTCCCCAAACGTTGATTACTGCCTGTTTTGATCATATCTATCAACTCGGTCTTCGCGTTAATCAAGACATGATATAGATTAATATACAATTAATTATCTCCATTTTACGCATCACGTTTTATGGTATACACTTCTGAGAACGACACTTTCATGAATATTATCATAAAAATGTAATTTTATTTAAATACGTTAATATCGTATTTCTTTTTTACATTATCACTTATCATAAACTATTATACCAATAAAAATTATAAAATTTTATAATGATTAGTATTAAAAATGTGTTCTAATTTGTAGATAGTGTAAAGATTTTTTTATTAACAGTGCATCAAAGTTTTTAAAAAATGTTATCTTATCCAATGCCTCTTCCGTAAACTCAGCGTATAAATCTTGATTTAGAATTTAACATTAGGTTACTAAGCTACAACACTAACGGTGCATTCAGTTGCGTGTGGACCTTTTTCAACTTTGTTCATCACCGACAAATAACTGTGATGATAAATGTGCGCTATTTTTTTTTTCTTCTCAATTGTTAAATTTTTATTAACAATTATAAAAATGTTATCTTGTCTATAGATGTAATAAAAGTTTATAGCTAAGCAATAACGTGTTAATTTTATTTCCTCAAAAGTAACATTTGGTAATTTTTGAATGATTAATTAATGATGGACATTTTATAATTGGTGTTTTATGTACGTTTCATTTGCTTGCCATGTGCTTTTTGGTCTTTTATTTTATCCTGCTTTTACACAATTTTAATTGATGAGACAAAAAGCATGAATCAAATACTGGGAGTACATATAGGCCATTTTGCAAACTTGCTTTATATGGTGAGTTACGGCCCAGGCCCAGGCCCAGGACCAGGCCCAGGCCCAGCATATAGTTCATTAATCTTCATCTGTGTTTATCTTTCCATGATTCAAATTCACAACATTCTCCGAGAAAGTTGTTCGTAAGATCAATGAAAAAGATTAGTAAACTGTTCAAACCGCTTCCAGTTAGTTATAACTTGAACCATCTAAATAAGGAACTATTAGAGCATATACCTCTGTTTCTGAAATAAGATTTCAGAAACCCGTAAAAGGATAATGCCACATAATTTTCAATGAATAATCTCAAATTATTGTTATTATTATTATTTAAACGGGTCAGCCTATTAACCTAAAAGACCTTTTAAATGCCTAAAATTTAACATTTTTAACTAAATAGACTTTTAAAAAAGTTTTAATATAACCTACTTAAAAAAATAAACTTGATCTACTAGGTCATCAGCTCTCAATGAACAACATAACTTATTTTTACCCTAATCAAAATTTCTTAATGTAATGGCTCTTTGATAAACTTTTCGACATGAGATAATATAATTAAATTCTTTCTTCTGTCCACAATCTTACCCGATTATATCAATGAAAAATAATCAATTAGGTGTAAGAATGAAAATAAATATAACAAGTAGTTAGAATAATAATAATAATAATAATAATAATAATAATAATAATAATAATAATAATGTGGAAAATGCATAAGTTGCAACAAGTAACTTTTTAGACCAGAAAATTTTTTTTGACAAGCTGTAAACAGCTTAATAAAAATTGATGAAAAATTATTATTATATCTAAATATTTAATAATTCACGTGAATAAGGATATATGGGCCGCACTTTAAGAGATATAGATACACTTTTTCCTTTTTGTGTTTTTTGTCAAAACTTTTTTCTTTTTTTGCTCAACAATACTTTTTTCTTAAATAATATTAAGAAACTGAGATTTATGGGCCCATTTGTCACTTCATGTCGCGGGCCATGGCCTAGTATGAGGGCCTATTCTCTTCGCATGGACATAATCCATGCTTCAAATATTGTGTTGATTAAGTCAGAATCTCTTCGGATTTGTTTAATTTGTGGGCTGTTTGGGCCTTTTCTATGTTATTTTTTTTATCAGTACACCCAAAAATATAGAATGTGAAATGCCTGACAAAAGCAAAGGGAGTGTGGAACGATTTCAGTAGTCAGCTATTTGCATATCGAGATAAATATTAATATGGGTGAAATATATGTTTATTTTTCAATGTCTATACTTTCTTTTATGGAGCTATCTATTTGCTTATTTGTTAAAAGCACTGTAATATCCTTCTTTTTAGATATTGTCATTCTCTGTGGTTGAAAATTGTTATTATCCCATTTCATGTAAGTGTCGTTAGATTTTTAAAATATTATTATTGACAAAAAAAAAAAGATTGTAAAATGAGTGAAAGATGAGAGAGATAAAAATAAAAAAAGAAAAGAAAAGTGAGAGATAGTCTGACAAAAGATAAGGAAAGATAGGAAAAAGAAAAGATAAAAAATAAATGTACGAAAAAGTAAATGTAAAGATACCAAACAAAAAAAAAAGCCTTTATTTGATTTTTCAGCTTATGTGACTAACAATAAGAGAGTTGACAGGCAAAAAAACACAATAGAAGAAATAAAATAATTGTATCATTATTTTGAATATTTTATGATAGAAGAGAATAATTTTATTTTTCATCTACTGCTTGGGAAATAAGCAGCATAATAAGAAAAATAGAAAATAATAAATTTGTTTCATCTTGTACTTCGAAACTGGAACAAGAAAAATAGATATTGTAGATAGCTAACATGAAATAAATTTCATTGAAATTTTATTTCATTTTATTGTATTTTCAATAATTGAAATAATGATATTTTTCATTTAATTTTCCTCCTATTTATCTCTTTTTTGTTTTGTCAACTCAAACAAGATAGCTTAAACGAATAAAAAAAATCAAATAATTTACTAAAACGAAATCAAAATAGAAAAAAAAAAAAATCACAGTGCATTTGGAGCATTACACAGTAAAGCTTGGTTCAGATCTTAGTGTTGCCTTGGATCAACTTTGTGATCTTTGAATTGATATTAGTTAACATTTTTTATCTCCTTATTTTTGAAACTGTGATCTTGACTAATTTGATATGTTAAGATTGATTAGCAAGCATTAAGCAAATATCTCTTCTCTTGAATAATAATCAACGTCTCTTTCTAGCTTGCATCTTAAAGACAAAGTATTTTGTGCAGCAACAATTATTTATTAGAGGCCACCATGAATTTAGACACTAAGGTAGACAACAAAGATCCCTTTTTATACGCATACACTTTTATGTAACGATGGTGTGATTAACTAAAACAAATTATGAATGATGGGAGTGGAAGATGGGCCTCCTTGTCTTTGAATTCCTACAAGGAAGGGAGTTTTAAAAATCTGTCTTTTTGCTCTCTTCCCCATCCAAATTTGCCAATAATTCAAAGAGCAAAACGAAGGATACCACGCCAATTGATTTCTTCTCGTATTAAAACATTGTTCTTTTTATCCACAGTGCAACTTCCTTGTGCTTATATAATTCTTGATGGTGACCTACCCTGCAAACACATCAAAGAGAAGATAGTGACCTTTGTTTACCATAATAATACACCATGACTTGATTTTCTTGACTAAATAATTTTTGGTTTGGGCATTATTTGATCTATCTGTTTCTCTCTCGCTCTACATATGGTTGGTCCCTACCCTTTCTCTATAAAAGGATATATAATTAATAGCTAAGGCATGCTTGATTCACCTAAAAGAAGAGAGAGATATATATATACATAGAGAATACTAGTGTAGTGGGTGCTTCTTCTTTTATTTCCTAAATACTTTAGTTTTGCTTTTAGCTAAGAAAGAGAATCCTTCTAATCTTGTTATGTTACATGGCAATATCCTAATTGGTTGATTGAGATTATAGTGGTGGTCAATTCCATATCCATGAGAACAAAGTGCTTGCCTCTTCAGCCTCTAAGCGTGTTCAGAAACACAAATCAATCCCATAAATATGCAATAACTGTTGCTAATCAACTAATTCCATTTTATTATTACTATTAAATTTGGTGGAGTAGGGGCACTCTATCTAGTTCCTGCTATATGCTATCATATAAAGGACATTTTGCTTTTATCAAATGCTACTTTGTATTTTCGTTGTATTATTTAAAAAATCTAAAATAAAAATTTATTCAAAAGTTAATCGATGTCCTATTATCTAAATAAGAGTCACAAATCTCAACCATTATTTATTATAAATTCCAAATTATCTATTATCTATTAACACGAAATCTTACATGCGAAATTAACTTATGATATTGCCAATTAGGTGAGTTAACTAATTCATTGTTCGCTGACATATAGAAGATTTAATTTCCATGGAATTGTGCTTGCCTTTTTTCTTCGTTCGTATTTCTTAAATGTTACATTGAAAGTGTTGCACCCATTAAGAGATAGCTACTTCATTTTAAATTGTTTTTCAATTTTGACCAAAAAGTTATCAATGATACAGAGAGCTAGCATACCTCAGCACTCAACATCAACGGGAGAGAAAGGAAATGAATATCGCGTGATTGTTTCATTACGGAAGCATTTTATACACAATCGATTACATGAAATCTATAAATATAAATTGTTTTAACTTATAAAATTTTGTTGTTTAAATATGCACAATATCATTGTTTTCTATTTTATATTCAATCGTTTCAGACATTCATTTAATTATTTTCTAAAGTTCAAATTTATTTTAATTTTGTATGATAATTACATTTCATAACTTATGATTTTATGAAATTTCAAATTTATTACCATTGTGATAAATAAATCACATTATTCAAAATTTTGCATTGATTACAATAAATTGTGATCTAATATAATTTTTAATACAAAATTGAAGCAGGACATTTTAAAGAAAAATTATATTTCTACTTCTCCTGTTTACAACTAAGAGAGGGATAAGAAGAAAAGAGAAAAACATGAAATAAGATAATATAATAAGAGATCCATAAAAGAAAGAATAATAAAGTATTGTAAAAATTATCTGTAAAAACTCTATAATTATTTTAGAAACCCTAAAAGTAGATGCGTAAAAGATTGCTTGGAGGTAGGAACGATCAAACATAAACATCACACATGTATAGACATCTAAATTGTCATGAAACTTAATATTTTAGAGGTAACTGATGGTAGAATTTTTTTTTAAAAATGGTTCCTTCACATTGTTATTTGTGCATGCTTGTCGGTTTACTTTTATATTTCTTTAAAAGACACAATTAAAAAACTGTTTTTATATATCATGTGTTTAATCTTTGATTATGGATTTTTTTGAAAAAAAACTGAAACAAAATAAACTAATTCAAGACACGTTGAAATAACAGCATCTTTTATCGTATAATCTTATAAGGGGATAATGATTGATATTGACAACCACTCTTCTACTGAATCATTTATCATTAGAGTTTTGCAATGACATTTTATATATAAGTGAATTATTGGCAGAACATGTTTACCCAACAAAAAAGGAAAGTGAAGAAAGGTCAAAGAATTATCAAATATTGCACAGCACTCAAGTCTAACTATATACAATCTTTGTAACTAATCAAATAAATTTCATGAAATGATAGTAGTTTTTATATTTATGGATTTAATAGGAAGTCATAATTGTTAAATCTACCATAGCATGCACAGCTGCTAATCAGCGTAGAATTTGTTCTTCACTATATGTTTTTAAACGCTCTCATAGCCAAATTCGTAATGCATTATGTGTTCGTTTCTGCTAAGGGAAATAGTTTGTAGACACTTCCTAGATGTATATATATCAACAGAATATTAAAAAAGATGAAATAAATATAATAGGCAATATAATGTGATTAAATAAATAAATTTGTAATACCGATAAGGTATTCATATATTATGGTCACATTCTTTCTGTATAACGAACAAATTTGAGACAACATATAGTGGCTGAGTTGTTTTGCTTTTACTGTAACTTTGTTATTCCTTTTCTCATATCTTTTGATAAGAAAGAAAATGACGAAATTTTGCTATGTACATATATATTCATTCTTGAAGGAACATGTATACTGTTGCAATCATGCATTGCAAAGAACTGCTCATATACTTTGAAAAAGTGAAGTACAAATTACAAACCCAAAAGGGAATATTCATGTCAAGTGCTGTTTTTCTTCGTGTCCGTAAAGTTGGCTTGGTTCAAATGCAATAAGATCTTGTAGCATATCATGAATTTGTACAGAAAATGACCATAAAATAAAATAAGGAAACAGCTTAATATTAAAGAAAAGAATTATTAATTCCTCGATGGTAAAAAGCAAATATTCTCCGACTTTTGATAATCAGAAGCATGTGGGTTTCTGTAATGGAATCCCAGATCTAAATCTGCTCTACTTTGGGCAATTATTCCAATTTAATTAAGCTATATAAATCCACTCATTCAAAATTCGGACTTTAAAATATATCACCCTTTGGTAGTAAATTCAACTTAAAACTTAATTTCAAGCTGCCTTTGTTTAGAATATATACACAGAGAATGTATTAAAGGAGATAACCTTTTAATATTTTAACGTGAGAGTAGAAAAATAAATTTTAATAGTTAAATTAATTATTTATAAAGTATGAGAATTAAAATATTAAATCATGTGATATTTTAAACAAGGATATAATAATTTAAAATTTTTAATTTGCATCGTCGACTATATAATGAAAGTTTTACTCCTCTCACTTTTATCGTTAATATATATAAACATGTAGGGCATTCGATATTATAACTTGTTTCAATATTGGAGTAATATAGCAATTAAATTGCATAAAACGAGAAAAGTAAAACTTGTCAAAAGAAGTAATATTAAAGTTATATATTATTTTACAGCTTTCTGGATGAAAAATTGAAATCGAGTCAGCTACAACCAATATTTTATATATATTGATATTAATACTTTTCTAGTTTTACTCAAATCGGCCAAATGAAAATCGATCTAAAATAACTTGTGGTCTTCCTTCAGTTTCTGTAAGCAAGAGGCAAGAGGACAAAGAAAGAAACGAACGTACCCTCGGTGACAACAATTTGCTTTTCCCTAAACTCGTATATGTTTTCAAATGGCTAGTTTCCAGCCATGGGAAGCTAGAGAGAGAAGGAAGAGGGTGTAGCAATGGCAAGGATGTTGTGGAGTTTGAATAGGAATCTCACAAGGCCTTGATAGTTGCAGCCTTTGGGGTGAGTGTTTGAGGGGAGAGAATATTCTAAGGCCAAAAGAGTTCAACAGCTAAACTCCAAAAATATATTTTAAACAATGTTAGAAAGGAAAAACATCATTAGATTATGATTAAGGATTAGCCATGTAGCAGGAAAAGTCAGCCCACAAGGAGACGCCTACTCACACTTCCAAAAATTCACTGCCTTTGTCAGCTCGCTGTCTTCTAACATTTTCTCTTTTATGCTAATCTTAGTATTTGCTCAAACTTAAGAAACAGTACTCTACTACAATGCCTCTACGAATAATTTTAAATCTTTTTTTATCTTTTCTGTTTATAATTTTTTAATTATTAAATTCAACAAACATTAGATATTTTTAAGATGATAAATATATTTTATAAAAAAATTATTAAGAAAATTTGTAAAAAGAAATAACAAAGTTTTTAAGTTTTACTCAGCAGCATTTCCCAGATTAACACATAACAAGTCAAGTGAGTATAAAGAAAATAGTACTTATATTACCTAAAAAAATCATAGCGTTGAGGTTAAGCAAACTTTTTACTTTTTTTCCCTCCTTTCTTTTTCCTTTTGTGGTGGTGTGGATGATGGTGGGGAAGATTCTTCCTTTCATTCTCTGAAAAACTTACAGTAGTATATACCTTACGTACTATATTATTGCTAGATATATAAAACCATAGTTTTTGCGATTTAATCATCCTATATGTTGATATGGCCATAACCATACCATAGATAACCCATCTTAGGTTAAACATTTTCACCGAAACAATCTTTATTTAAAAGAAAAGGAACATGTACGTAAAAGATGCTGAGAAAAAAGCTACTAAAGTGAACTCTATATCTACCATCCAAAAAATTAAGAAGTGGAAGGTAAAAGGTTGGGTAGTATACATCTACCACTCAAAAATTGAGCACCCAATTAAGGTCTTCACAAACATGAAACTTGTGTTAAGAAATCAAAAGTATGTTTGACTGCCAGTTGCATCATCATGATAATTATAATTATAATTATTACATATATTCTAATAATAAAAACAAGAAACAACAGTTAGTTTGATGGATATAAAAGCCAAGTGGGCTAGAAATCCTGCCAATGTGAGACATGTTTGTGTTGTCATCTGGACGATTATTCCCTTTTCTGTGTGTTTTCGTCTTTTCCTTTGGATTAACCATGCTTGACAGTTTGTTGAGTGTATGGACACACGTGCATGGCTGTTTTCTAATAAGAGCAAGAGTGACAAAGCAATTGACAACTAGCTAACCAAGTGATTGATTATAATGGCAAACTAGCTAGCTTTTTACTCTATTTTCTTTCAATCCACTATAGGGCATTCAAACATTTTACAACATTTTGGCATCTATCAGTCTTCTTCGGGGAAATGAACAACATTTTCCCTTTGACTATGTTCCAAAGACTCGAAAGATTTTGCCTTTTGCGGAAAATAAACATTAAAGATTTATAAGGTGTTTGAGTTGGCTTTTCCTTTTCCAGTCACATTCACACACAAGACACACTGATTTTCACTTTTTGACAGAAACAGCGTTTTGCTTTGATTTAAATGGCAGCAAGTGGAGTAATTCAAGTTGAAATATTAATCTAGCAAAAGAACCAATTCTATAACGCTCTGGGTAAACCAAGTTTTTCCCATAGGCGCTTGCTTGCTTATGTTTAGTAACCAGTATGGATAGTAGCATTTTTCTCTGTTTTATGTTCAAATGGTATACAAATAGAAAAACTATACTATGAGGCAAAGGTTTTTAACGCCAGGGCAGAAAAGAAAACTACACAAGGTAGAACATAAAAAGCCAGATGATTTGGATGTAATGCCCAGAGGGCTATATATATATATATATTACGCGTCTGAAATATGACACATAAATGCAACGTTATATTTCTGCTCGTTAATTGAGCTTTACTGCTCAATGAGATGAACATAACCTTTGTATACCTTGTTATTTTTAACTTATAATATTAAAATTATGATATTTACCCTCAAGTTGAGAATGATCGTTTAGTAAAATCATTCTTAAAACAACTGACTAAGATTTTAAAATCATAGCTAGTGTACTATTAGCACGACCAACTAGTGTTGAGTATAAGCTTTATATATTGAAACAGAAGGGTTTCTCAATATTCAATTATCTATAATAAAGACATTGAATGAAAAGGATTTGAAAAATAAGAAACCAAAAAGTTACAAATTATGGGATAATCATTCCAAATGGAGATAACTTTCCTCCGACCTCATCATATGTGTCATCATACACCTTTGCTTCACCTCCTATTCTCTCTATATTTCCCTGACTTGACCCCCACCCCTCTCTTTCTTTCTCTCTCCTCTTTTGCTTTTCCGCCTCCCATAGCATCTTATTTTTTTTATTCCACCTAAAAAGTAGATAATTAAATTGACTGTAACATGAGAGAGAAAGAGAGGGACAGAGAGATCCCATCTAGCATATATCAGTCCATGTTGTTTAGGGTTGGAACCTTATAATTAAGAAGGGTACCCTTTCTCTCGGGTTTTCTCCTAATTCAAACACTAATATATACTTCATCCCACCTTAGCTTTAACTGTTTCCACACTGAGTCAAACTTAGAATTGAAGAAAGAAACAGCTTAGTTAAGCTGTTAGAAAAGATGGATGATGGAGAAATTTCAAATGCTTTCCCTCCCCAGAACCCATCAACTGCTTCATCTAACAATCCTCCAGTTTTGAAAAGAAAGAGAAACCTCCCTGGAAACCCAGGCAAGCTTGTTCTTCCATGCCTTATCCTTCTGTTTTTTATCTCTCTACCTTTTTTCTCATTATCATAAGTATATTCAAAGCTAATTGCTTTTTTATTGATGTAAAAAAGAAACAATGATTTATTATGTAAATGAATCTTCTTTATGCACACAGATCCTGAAGCTGAAGTCATAGCCTTATCACCAAAGACTCTGATGGCTACCAACAGGTTCGTGTGTGAAATTTGTCTGAAGGGTTTCCAAAGGGACCAAAATCTTCAACTCCATAGACGAGGGCATAACCTTCCTTGGAAGCTGAAGCAAAGGACAAGCAAAGAAGTGAGGAAGAGAGTTTATGTGTGTCCAGAGAAGACATGTGTTCACCACCATCCTTCAAGGGCTCTTGGAGACTTAACTGGGATTAAAAAACACTTTTGCAGAAAGCACGGGGAGAAGAAGTGGAAGTGTGAGAAGTGCTCAAAGCGTTATGCTGTGCAATCAGATTGGAAAGCACACTCAAAGACCTGTGGCACCAGAGAATACAAATGTGACTGTGGGACTATCTTTTCACGGTACGTGGTTACCCATCTATCTTATCTTTGATATCTATTTCATGGTAATCAATTTTTGTGTAAAAGTAGTAACTTGTCTAGTAACAAATATCAAAAGAAAATACAAAAGAAAAAATGAAACAGGCAATTACTATTACTATCCTTATCTTTGTGGTATATAAAGAGCATCGCTTTCTTTGTTCACTTGTGGTTAAATCAAATCCAAAAAGATATGGAAAAAAATTGAATCATGATGCTAAAGTCCTTGAACTGTAGCTGTGATATCTTTGTCTCTGACTCCTCCGTTTGTATCTGCGTGCCTGCTGTCTATTTGGCTTTTAGGAGTAGTAAAAAGAGAAATGGGTCTTAGAGCAGTGAAAAGAACTTGAAAGAACCCACACTTGCAAGTTTTATTACCTTTTTGTAATCATCTTAAATGACAAAAGTTTAAGCTAGTTCGGAATTATCTTAATTTATCACCTTTCCTTAATTATGTGAATATGTCTTAATTCTGTTTTAATAACATTGACTAATCTGGTACTGACGTTATATATGAACCCTATAGGCTAGGGATTGAAACTACTTGTTCTTTTTTCTTTTTTTTTTTTGTCACCTTTCTGTTCTTCCATTAAAAAGTGACATGTAGTTAAAAAAATCATAAGGTTCTCTTGGTTGTTAGTTTTTCCACTCATGTAATAGTCGTAATGCTGCAGAGTCTTACTAGAGAAATTCTTAAGAACTCACGGGACAACAAATAAAATTGTATGTACTGCCTTAATTGTGCCTTTAACTTCAACTCTTTTTAAAAGGTATAGATCATGAAGAGGTACAGGTTAGCTTTCTTGCATGCTTGCTTTTAAATAAATAATTTATTTACTATTTTCTATCAATTTTGGTGGATTAGGAGGGATAGCTTCATCACTCACAGGGCCTTCTGCGATGCCTTGGCAGAAGAAACAGCAAGGGTGAACGCAGCTTCAAACATGAGCAGCTACAGCATCATGCAAAACTCCCTTGGTCCTAACATGGCAACCCACTTTTCATCAATTTTCAAGGCAATTTCATGTACTGAGGAACCAAGTAATCAAACATCCAATAAGGGGCTATCTCTTTGGATGACTCAAACGTCATCTCAGGCTCATGAGACAATGGCTAATAACAATTTGCATGAATTTCATCAACTTGGGTCTGCTACAAGCTCAACAGCAATTTATTGTAGTGGTGGGAATCCACTTGTTTCTTCATGCTCAAATCCACCACCCTCTAATTATCAGCTAAATTGGGTGCAGTTTGGAAGTAAACTATCTTCTAATGGAAGTGATCAAGAGCTAACAAGCACTGTTTCACTTCCTCTAGTGAATAATATTGTTAAGGATAATCCAAACCAGCTTATAAGTGTTCCTTCCTTGTATAGCTCCCAACACCAATCCCATCAAACAACATCAGCAAACATGTCAGCCACAGCTTTGCTGCAAAAAGCTGCTCAAATTGGGACAACTTCATCGGACCCATCATTATTCCTTGGGAGCTTAGGTTTGAAATGCAATACTCCAGGACAAGATGGGAACAAATTTTGTGCCATGTACGGTTCAAGTTCAGTACTCACAAGTCATGGTACTGAGGCAGAGAATAATTATTCAGGTGATTTGTCACAAATGCCCCCTACAAAACGACGGCACGTACAGAATACTGAAGAGACTGCATGGGGACAAACTAGGGATTTTCTTGGTGTTGGTGTTGCGAATCATTTGCCACCCTACATCAATCAACGGATGGATTTGTTTTGATCATCGTGTATTCAAATGTTAAGTTTTAGTTTCTTTTTTTTTTAGTTTCTTTATTTCTCAATAAAATGAAAAATATGACAATAAACGAGAATGGTGGATGAGGTTGGTTGGAATTAGTAGCTAGTTTAAGAGAATAGAAATAAATACATAAATAAATATGAATATCTTGATTAAAACTTTGGAGGGAGGAAAAGGTGGGAATTGAGTGCTTAATGAAGGCTGAAAAGTTGTTGTTATAAAACTATTGAAGGGGTGAAAGAAGAGAGATCCATGCATATTCTTTTGAATCCTGAAAGCTGACTCCTTTTAAAAATATGGTGGCTTTAATTTTTGATAAAGGGGAGGGAGGGTTTGTGGAGTAGTGGGGGCAAAGGATAGGACCGCTTTTGGACTCCATTATTGATCAGTTTCATCTCTGCTGTGGTTGTTGCCTGTCAAACTAGACTCAAAAGAGAGAATTTCCAATGACCCAAAAAAGCTTCATTCTATAGTACAAATAGGCTTTTAGCCTGTTCAGTATAAAATAAACTGATGTACCCTTTCATTCGATCAACAACGCATGCATACATGTACTAGCTATCTTTTCTTTGTATGTGCACAAAAATAAAATATAAAAGACACCAAGAAGGTTCCGTGAGATGTTAAAAACCATTTATATTTCTTCGTCTAAGGCTTTGAAGTTACAAAATAATTGAAGTGGTTCACGCATGTTATATGAGGCTATTTGAAAAAAGTTATAGTATTCTAATCATGCTTTTTTTTTCTTCACTTTTTCACAATTCTTTTTTTTTATTCTTTCTCTTTTCAATATGATTAGTCTCATCACCTATATTTTTCTCTCTTTTATTCATATTTCTTTCTTAGTTAAAGAAGATATATAGAGTTTCTTATATGATAAAGAGGTACAGGTTTTGATTTTTACCCAATTTCCTTTTAATAATAAAATTTTAAATTTTAGTGTAAAATTTGTTTTACATCTTTAGGGTTCAAAAAATGTTCTTAAACGAGAGAGATACACCATTGAACACATCATGCATCAACTAGTAAAGATATGCTTTCATTTAGAAGTTTAAACTTTTAAAACAACTAATTCATTACATATATAAGTTAGACTCTTTCTATAAATGATCAAATCTTCCTTCATTTCTTTTGATTTTTCTTCCTTTCGATTCCTTTTCTTTTTCGTGCATTAGCATTACTGGCTTTTTCTATAAGAATCTCTCACAGTATTTTTTTTTTTCTTTTCTATACACATGAAACTCAATATCGAATTCAAAACTAAACGTTTATATGGGATCAGAGTATCATCCATTGAAACTAACATGTTGATAGTGGTGAAATGATTTTGTATTAAAACGTAAAATTATGATTTTTTGGTTACAGCTGAATATTTAAAATTATAAACATAACAATTATTATTTTTATAATGCTTAGTGTGTATTGAAAAGATCTCACTTCTCGTGTATATATATGGATGGTCCATTACCATCCTTTAGCCTTCAATCGCTCGATGATCAATAGAAATAAGTGCTTCATCAATTTTGTTGCAGACTAATACCTAATTAACAGTATATAAACTCACTTGTTCATTACCGTATAAGACTCAATAGTTAATCCTATGCTTGGTTGCATTTGTATGGATCAAACGAGATGGGAAAGATCAAAAACATATATTGATCAAAAGTAAAAAGAGAAGCCATTTTATTCAGTTTTGACTGCCGCACTCACCACGTATGTTATGATTTTGTTTTTACTTTTTGTTACATGGTGACGTGGTGGGGTGGGACAAGACATCAAATCGATGTTCACAATTATATACCGTTTTTTTTTTTTTACAATGTTTTGATATTAACAATAAAGAATTAATAACTTATTCATGTTTATTAAAAAATAAAGCATTTCTTAACGTTAATGTACTTAAATTTTATAATTCTTTAATAAAATTTTATTAAATATAAATTTTATTGTATACCTTTAAATATATGTTAAAACATTTTTTTTAATTGAAAAATGTATAGCACTCGTTTAAAGATTTGACAATTGACAGCCTTTGATAATGATAAGGTTTATATGCAGAGAAGATGTGTGGAATGATCATTGCCATGCATGTCACGAAATCTAGACGTAAAAGCTTTTCATGGCGCGTATCGCATTTTTCTTTCTTGTGATCTGACAACATAATCGTGATTTAGTCCCCTCTCAACGCCAATTTTCATCAAAGATCATTGATAGAAAATCAAAGTATAAAGTTTCCGAGACGGTACGCAAGTACAAAGCAAACACATATATACTAATACCTATCTGTCTATATTATCGCTATATGAGAATGTTGGTATTGTACTATTTCCTTTGTTTCTTATTGATTTTATCAACATTTTTTTTGTTCATCGAAAAGTAACCTTGTGCTCTATTAGGGTCATATTTTATTAGTCTAAAAATACCTTCATATTATCTGTTGTTATTGATCTATCACAATTTCCTTTTATCATAGTTATCAAAATAAATGGTAGTTAGTTATGAGTATAATGTTCTCTATTATCAAATTATAACACAAAAAATGTATTAATACTTTTAATTTACTTACACTTAATAATATTATGTGTTAATATATAGTTCTGTGAAAAATATTCACTAATGTTCACTTTTGTCATTAAAATGTTTGCTTTCTATTTTACTTTGCCTTTTGTTGGGTTTTTCTCCCATATTTTTTATTAATAAAAAACATTATACTTTAAACACTAAATAAAAATTATTAGATTGAGTTGATTTTGATTTTGAAAATAAAATATATTCAAATTAATTGATTTAATATGAATATATGCATTTTTATTATAAAATCTTATCTTACTCCAACTGACAAAAGGTTTAATAATAATTATTTCGTTGTTAGCAATATATGCATATATGAATGTTAGCTTTGCATATACAATAAATTCCAATTCCCATTTTCTGTGAGAATGGATTCTCAAAAATGATTTTTGTTGAACAGCGACCCATAGATCTGGAATATTTTTGGCATATGAAATGTTGACAATGCCATGTGTGAAACAACAACAACCACATTATTGTGGTGTGGACAATCGACCATATTTGGCGCCACCTGGTCACTATTCATATATGTATACGCCATCCAGTGATCTACCTTCCATTATTGCCAGCAAACTAGCCACTTTGACCCTGTCACTCATAATCAAAATTCACTTAAATATCAATCATCAAATTTGCTCATCTTTCGTTCATAGTAGCAATTGATGATAGCCATTGATGGTTGGCGACTTTGGCCACATTTCAAATCACCCAATGCCACCCGCTTTATACTCTTACTAACGATGGTGACTTTGGCCAACATCGTAGGTCAATAATCAATATATAAAATTAAGAAATTATTTAAAAAAAAACTAATGTTAAATATTCAATATAAGAGTGTTTAGTTTTGCATCTAATAATATAGATTTATAATACAAATCTCATTCTCGTGCTTGTCTACCACCAAGCCTAATTCTTTGGATCACATAAGTTTTTTATTTAAAAAAGTAGAAGATGCAGAAGGTGAGAAATTAATTAGCGTTACATTCCGTATATTAGAGGAAGATAAATTAATCTACGCTGCACCATTGTTTTGCTTGATACACAAAAGTTGTATAGGAAGTAGATCGATAAAGTTTGGGCCAACTGTCCCAATTTTCAAATTCCAGCTCATACACTTCTCAGGCCCAAACCACGGACTCATTTCAAAACCCAACTTCGCCGGCAGCCCCAACCCAAAAAAACCGCAGCCCACGACCCAAAACAACCGAAGAACCGAACATCACTCGCGTGTTTGCATCGAAACTCCAGAGAGAGTGAGAGAGAGAGAGAGAGAATGAAGTTCACAGACTCGCCGGTGATCGAGCTTCCGGTGGGAAACGGCATTCTGTCTCTGCAGCAAGACAATGGCTCCATGCACGTGGGAACCTCCGTGTGGCCATGCTCCCTCGTCCTTGTCAAATTCGTCGACCGCTGGGCCCAACCCTCCCTAAACAACCCTTACGCGCACATTCTCCACTTCGCAGGCAAACGCGCCGTCGAAATCGGCACCGGTTGCGGCGTCGCCGGCATGGGGCTTTACTTACTGGGTCTAACGGACCTCGTCCTCACCGATATCGCCCCTGTGATGCCCGCACTGAAACGGAACCTGAAAGTCAACAAGCCACTACTCCGCAAAACCCTAAAACACTATGTTCTATACTGGAACAATCCTCAACAGATCTCTTCGCTTAACCCTCCCTTCGATTTCGTTATCGCCACCGACGTCGTTTACATCGAGGAATCCGTTCCTTCTTTGGTTTCCGCCATGGAAACCCTAGTCTCTGACGACGGCGTCGTTTTGCTTGGCTACCAGCTTAGGTCCCCCGAGGCGCACAAACTCTTCTGGGAATTGTGCGATGAGGTGTTTGACATTGAAAAAGTGCCTCACGAGCATCTTCATCTTGATTATGCGTATGAGGAGACTGATGTTTTTCTGTTGAGAAAGAAGAAGAAGAAACAGTGACGGTAATGTTTTCTATTTTAGTGAAATCTTAACAAATTTTGGAGCTTGATGAGGTGCTGTAGTGACAGAGTGTGCAATTCAGTGATTCACTTTGTATTATGAAACTATCATGGCTCATCTGTGTTAAAATTGAGTAGGTACTCTTGATAGAGATTGGGATAGTGTTAAATCATCCACTGCTCTCTTTCCCGTATGAAAGAAGAGAAATTTCATTTTCAACTGAGAACATTAATCGCTTTATCCCATAATCGATTTTTTGTCATTCTTCACTTCAGGAAGAGCTTCTTCTCAAAGCCCTTTTTCGTCCCAGCGAAGTTTTGATATGTTTCTAAATTAATCTCAATTGTAATTTCTGTTAGCTTGAATTTAAGCCTTTAAAAGTAATTAATTTGTTTTTAAAAAATAAAATATTTATTATAAAAAAATATTTTTTTAATAAAGATTATATTTTTTAAATGTTTAAAATTAGCTCTGAGTAAGAGTTCAGGGGGCTTAGATCAATAAAACTGGTATAATTTTCGTGTCTGTGTAATTGCTAAGTGGGCATTGTAAGGATCACGTGAGTAAGTTGTGACCAAAATTTTATTTTATTGAGACAGCTTTAGAATAAGTAAATAAACGGGAAAAAGAGGATTTATAATAGCGGCATTTGAACAATGCTGGTTGTTAAATGTCCGTTTCGTTGGTTGTTTAGTTTGGTAGACAAGTACAAATTGGTGCTTAATGCTTCATAATTAATTGATTAACGCTTAGCCTCCCCTGTTGACTGAAGTTTGGAATCGTGGAAAAAATTGTGTCAGGCTAAAAGATGTTATTTGTGCTGTAGTTCTCAAAAGTTTTGTAATTGATAACTGGATTAAACCTATTAGCAAGTTGACAACTTTGTGGATCAATTTATGTAAGACAGAAACTTCTGGCAATCAAAGCGACAGAAATAATTTTTCTCAAAGGAAAAAATTGTATATTCACTCTTTGATGTTGATTTCAGCTTTTGATTGTTGGGTAGATCCCACGAGCATGACTTGGTTTATGTTCGTCCTTGTTTCCATTATGATGAGTTGAGGTAAAGAGAATTTTTGGGAGTTAGTGGTGGATGTGATGAAAGATACCAAAGCCTGCTGTATATAGTATAGTAGCCACATGTATCTTCTGAAGCTCCATGAATACAAACTAAGTGGCATCAGGGTATTTTCTGATTCTCCCCTTATTGTTACTTCAGAATGAAAAATATTTTTTATTCTCTTAGAACGTATAAATAACTTGCATATGAAAGTCTACAAGACATTGTCAGAGTGTCTACATTGCAATTTTTCTGGTTTTTTTCCCTCAATAGTTTGCATGTTATCTCGGACGGCCATGAGAAACTTATTGTGAGAAAACAGATTCTTGCTATTAGGGTGTCATAGATTGTTGTTCGTGTTGGTGATTATGTGACCCTCCAAATGATTGCCAACAAGAGATCCTTGAATGTTGTTCATGAGCTTGAAGCCCCCTTGTCATGGTGGGAAAAAGGGAAGTGTTTTTTACACAATTTCCTGCCCAAAAAAATAATATCCAACTTTTTTTTGGTTGTGTATGTCCAATACTCGAAAAGAATATGATTGAGAGGACTAATGAGATTGAAGAACTTGATTTTTATTGTTTTTAATTATTACTGATTCAACCTTATTTTTTACGCTATTATTCGAATTCTGCTGTATGTCCCTTGTGTGAGTAGAAGTGTGCAAACAGACATGATGGTCTGCCTGCCCTGCAAGACACTTTCGGTGCATACAAATAAATATTCAAGTCATAAGCAAATTCAAATTTCTTAAGGTTGAAGGTATCATGGCTGTGCAGGACTTTCGGTGGCTTGGAGTTGATAAACTTGATTGAACTACAAGTCAATTAACACCATCACTATTGACGCAGTATTCAACTATTTTATTTTAGTACAATCATTCTACACAAGAAAACAGCTGAAGGACATCGAGGATGGAGAGTGGTCTGTCACCGATGCGAAAACGCAAGACCGAGAAGAAGATGTAGATGAAGCTAAGCTGGCTGTTCGTGTGTGTACTTAGTTCATTTTGTATAGAAAGATAATTTTTCATTTTTTGCATCTTGGAATATAATTAATAATGGTTAATCGATCATGATTGTTATGAAGTCTAAACTTGAATCCAATATAGGTTCCATTGGCCATTGTCTCTTTTTCAACACTTAATTAGTTCTTGAAGTTGTTGAGCTTCATATATATTTCTCGACCGAGTAAAGCAATATTCTATTACATAGTTCTCGTCATATCTCACACCGAAATGCAGTGAGAGTGAAATGAGTGAATAGTTAACACGACTTATTTGCACTTTTCATAGTAATGTTATTTGGGCATCAATTTATGTATTTTATTAGATAGCCAATGGATGATCTAACAATAGCACGGCGTATTTGAAGCACATATTAATTCTATCATCAGCATTTTGAAGGCCTCTGGCATTCCTAAAACGAGATATTTTAAGGTAAAAAAGCACGCATTACAACCCAAAATGACATTCTTCATGGATCGACATTCCGATCAGTGACGACACATGCTAATTACGTATACAACCAAAACAAAGTGAAAAATTTCGCAAAGAAAGGATCTATAGTTCAAGACTGCTTAAGGTAAAAGTCATGTTTGTACAGACTGTTGGTTAGTATTTACCCAAGTGAGGACAATTAACGTATGCTTTCGTGTCACTGTACATATCATGATAACAGCTAATACTTTAAAAAAATTCCAAGAAAAAAAAGAAAACGTAGTTACAACCAAATCTTTGTATTTATTTTTTTCTTCTCTTTACTTCTCCCGGTCTTTTTTGTTTCTCCCTCAAGAGAAGTATCTGACCGCTATTTTTCAGATGAAGCAGTTTCTTCTTATTCTGTTCCGCCTTTTCCCTCCTAACTAGAGTTGGTTATTAACTTATTTCTTCATCGCAGAATACAATTGTCATGTTCCTTCATCTTTCATGGCATCTCACATTTCTTGTTCCTTTACATCACTACTTTCAAGAAATGAAAGTAGCATCATGGACAGGAAAATGGGAAACTACTTGAGCATTGGTAGATCTATGTTGGTCTCCTTGATCAAATGATATGAAAGAAGTGTTGTAATACTCACCAAACCCAATGTTTTTGTTAGTTACCTCATGCATGCCTTGACCGTTTAGTTTTGCAGGATATGAGTCTTTCATCGTTGAACTACATTGTCTAGGTTGTGTTTGGTAGAAAACTTTTGAGACCACCAATTCCCCTTCCTTCTCCTCTTCATTATTGCCAAGGTGGTACTGGTGCATAACCCAATTTGTTTTCTCCGGCTTCCTTTGTTTTCTGTAGTTTGTGTAAAGCACAAGAATTTTCTTGTACCCTTTTAACTTGCCACCAATGTAGACTGGCCTAGTCTTACCTGTTTTGTGCCATCGGGTATCACTGCCATCAGCATCTGTGTGCACTTTTCTCCTTTTCCTTGTTCCTGTCGTGTATGCCTTGGAAGGCCGGTGAAAGAAATGACGGATCAGGCCATCTTTGCTCACTCCTGCAGTAAAATTTATTAAGGAATTTAGATGTTAATTTACATCAAAGTTTATTATAAATATACCAACATGTTACAAAATGAAAAGGTTTCTAGCTCCAGATCATTAAGAAATGGAAGAGAAAACACCGGTAAGGCAAGGTTTGGTTGAATTGTTTCCCCGTATATGTGAGTGCATGCATCTATGATATAACGGTTGAATCGTGGGTAGATGCTACCCACCCACACAACATATAGAGATATGTACCCGACAGCATAAAATAAGATGTTATAAAACTGGATAACTAAATTTATAATGAAGTAAATTGTCACATCTTCTGCCCCAAAAGTGTCACTTTAGCAAAGCTAATGTTTTCTGCTTTTGAAGTTACTGAAGTCTAAATGTAAAACTGACCTTATATTTTAAGGAACTGCATATATTGTGTTGGCAATCAATATATATATATATATATTTGATAATGAAAATTAATGCAATTTATAGGACAAGAAAGTCCACATTAGAAATTTTGAAAGAGCTATAAAAGAAATGGAAATCAATCACGAGGATTTGGGGCTTGTATTTAACTGATGACCTGGCAACTTCTCTGGATGGGTACAGCAGATTCCATTCTCTCCTTCAAGAGTAGGGATGAACTCATCAATTAACGGGTGAAGCTTGTGAATATCAGACCGCACTTTTGCTTCCAAATGTTCAAGAATCTCCTGATCAGTGGGATCAAACTTCACTCCAGCAGGTAGTCCAGGTAAGTCATGAATTCCACCAACCTAATTACAATACCATAATAATTTTATTTATTCATGAATTGAACCCCCCCCCCCCCCCCCCCAATAAAATAGTAAAAATAAACACCCTAAGATCATTAAGCTCAAACTAAAATATAAAAACAAAAAGGGTAATGATAAATGTTCATTGACTAAATAAGGAGTTTATTATGTCAACCTGCTCTTGGCATTTGATATGATGACCACATGTAGGACATGTTCTAATTAAGCTGTCTTTGTGCCTCTCCACAATGATGCTATGATTGCTTTCAGGGTAACTGCACTGAGTCATTTCCTTGTTATCCTCTTTTCTCCCTCATTCCATTTCTGGATATCTTCTTTTCTTGTTTCCTCTTATGCTTCAATAAAATAATAAAACAGAAGTTGAAACAGAAAGGGCTGAAGGAGACTGAGAGATAGGTTGAGCTAAGAAATGAATTTAAAGTAGTAGTAACTAAATAGAGGTGGAAAAGAAAATGTTGTCTCTTCTAAAGGTTGCTCCCCTCATGCCAGTTCTTGTTGAGGGGTGGCAAGGAATGAAATTCTCCATCACTTTTTTTGGTGCTTTCTTTTGCATGAGTGAATATTGCACTCTTTCCTAACCTCCTCTTGCTCTTACGAAAAAGAGGGGAGAGTGATACCTAAAAATTCCAAATATAGAGAATGGAATTAATAATTAGCGATAGGGTTAGTTGCACAGAGAGAAACGAATTAAAAATACTTAAATAAGATTGCTTTGATCTCAAGTTTTGTTTTGCTTTGTATATTTGTATGAAAACTTGTAGAAGAATAAATGTAGATTTTTGTCCTTTTTATTCTGACTAAAGGTAGCTTTGAATATAATTAAAATCTAAAATAAAACCATGTTTAAACTGGGAAAGAAACAATTAATATATATAAGGATAGTAGAGTTGAGTGGGATTGGGGCAACCTAATGTAAGCACAGAGCAAGAACTTAGGTCCAATGTCACCCTGGAGTATAGATAAAGTTAAAAATATTAATACCAGAAAAATAAGAAAAAAATTGAAGAAAACATTTTTCAGCCAACCATAACAACATTCCTTCACGTAGACTTCTCATGCATAGCAAGAAACTCTCTCTCGCAATATAACTTGACAGGCTTAGCCCTCAACTTCGTTGATAGTTGCAGCACACTCTCTATTGCCATATGGCAAAAGCAAATGCAACCATGTGTCAATATATGTCACAAGTGAAGGAAAGTAAAATAGCATATGGGAAAACAGTTTACATTTTTTTGGGGGGCTAAAAGATTCTGATTTTTTAAGTTCATTCTAGATATCTGCCTTATCTATTCGGTTAATAGTAAACGCAACTAATTGAAGTGAAGAGAATTTGTATCAGTACAAAAAATTATAAAAGAAAAGTTTTATAATAAAAAGAGTGTGTGAAATAAGATAGTCAAAATAATGGAAAATAAAAATAATATTGTAGAAGATGATGAATAAATTTATTATTTGAAAAGGAAAAAAACAATTCAAAAAATATGAGCATAACTCTCTGTAGAGAATAATGAGTTTCGACTAAACTGAAAATATAGTGTGTCCCTACATTTATTTATATGTTGGCCATTATTGGGATATCCATGCATTGGATGTTAATTGCACCAACGGGTGCATCTGAAAACTCATCCTGGTGGTTGCATACCACAGGAACAAGCATCAACACAAGTCAAAACGTGTATCATGACTGTAGCCAAAGGGGACCCCATGCGCATAATATAAGAGAACCTTTGCTTTAATTTGCCAAAGTTCGTGATGCTTGGTGCTAAAAAATGAAAATGCCATCCATGCATAAAAGCATAAACTTCCAGCTGTTGGGTAGCCTTATATATTATAGGATTGCATCATTTATCAAACTGGAAAGGGTAAAAGGGTTCGACAATTCGAATACTCTTAATTAAGATGAGGTCTTTAGATTGCATTCCTTTTTTCTAATTTTATTTTACTTCATTGTTTTATCTTATGTACAAGAGGTATGAGATCTCAATGATTTGCAGTTCAGTTCATTTTTATTTTCTCTATCTTTCCGGGTTTTGGTAGACTTTCCAAAATAATGATGAGTGACACTTATGCCCTAAGACACTTGTTGAAGCAAAGTTAGACCATAAACTTGAGTACTTTTTTGGATATATATATATATATATATATATATATAAACTAATGGTGTTTGGAAAATAAAAAAAGATGGGGGCCAGGGTCTCCATCAGGATACTCGATGCATCGCCCTTGGATACTTGCAAGTATAGCAACAGTGTTTCAATGGACGTGACATTTTATGCTAAATAACTTTGATTATTGAGGAAATGGAGATTTTACAGGATGTTATGACGTTATAATCCTAAAAACTATCATGAAAAGATATTAATTTTGATTCGATTTTTTTTTTCTTTTTTCGAAAGGTAGCTAAGAAATGCCACTGTGTATGACATTTCATGTCTGATTCTTTTAATCCCAATGAGTTTGGAATTCAATCGGCATATGCCAATTGGCAGGTCCCAGGTTAAGCGTTATCTTAATTAATGCCAGAGATCTCGTAAACTAACTGTTAAGCCACTTTTTTGTTTTATTCCTTTGAGGACTTATAAACCCTTAATTCTACATGTATAAAAATAATAATAAAAACCATCTAATGTGTAACCAATTCGGGAAGCCACAATAGATAGACGAATTTACAGATTCTAGTTGAAATTTATCCATTCATTCATACGAGAAGTGATTAAAGTTTAAAAAGTTTTGGGAACAAAAGGCAAAATTACTACTTTGTACCAAAAAAAGTTTCAACATTGAGTGAAAGAACGGCTAAATGACCATTTTCAACTACTGTTGGTCTGCTGTGTGAAATGGCGTTTCTTCATGTGTAAATTACAAAACAATTTTTTGTTTGTCACAAATTGCAATAAACCAATGAGAATGTGTTTTAAAATATTGGACTGATAGCAGACCTAAACACAAGCCCATTAAGGATGGCCCATTAGGGAAAGAATGAGTAAATGACCATTTTTAACTACTTTTGAAAAGAAAAAAATATGTACAATGGTATTTCTTCGTGTGTAAATTACATAAACCAATTATTTTTTCACAAACTACATAAACCAACTTGGGCTTCTTTTTTTTTGGGTCAAAACTTCAATGTGTTTAACTGTTAAAACATTAACAGTCTAATTGCCCTGTTAGAAGACATTAACACAAGCCCATTAGGGATGGACCATTAATTGAAACTGGAATTGAGACCAACATTGACTTACTTCCAAAAATCAGATTCATTTTCATATGAAGCCCATTACATGATTACTCTCCCCAGGTCATTCAATATGATGATATCATACTCTACATAAATAATTGCGAGGAAATAATAAACACTATTTAAATGCACTGGCTGCCCTCATCATAACCCTGACAAAAAAGAACATTGGTCTTAGCACTTTCAAAGTAAATCTAGCAAAACTAATCAATATCTTCCACTGTTGCATACTAAAATTCAGATTTTATTTGAACTTATCTCAACTTGGGTAGATGATCTACATTTAAAAATTGCTCCAATTTTAAATGATTTTATCTAGAAAAACCCATCATAATCATGCCAATTAGTAATTAAAAAAATAATACAGTCCTCTAAAGAGTATCTCACTGGCTAAGTGCCCTGATATGCCCCTCCTTCAAGCCACAATAATTAAATTTTTGCCCCAAAATATTAAAATATCATTCAGCCACCGAGTCAATGTTGTAGGTATGGGATTCGGATAATTGCCCATTCCTAATATGCCAAGTGATCGTAGCGTTAATGAGGAAATAAAAAGAAACAGATAAACAAATAAATCAAGTAGATATGGACTGCAATATGGGATAAATATTTGCAGATAACGATTTCCTGCTAAAATATTATAGTTAAAAGCAAAGTAGAACAGATATTCTGCTGGGATTTTGATTTATACCATTTTTAGCTGGGATTAAGACAATGACATGATTGAAATTGGAAAATCTATTACAATTTCTTACAATTGCTGTTTCAAGTACTATTTGCCTAAACAAGAACTAATTTTTAAGTAACAGAGCTGAACTGAAAATTGAAGGTGATTATTTCAATTTTCAGCACGTACTAGCTCAAACTAAGGTTCCCTGATGATCATTATCAGAGGCCTCTTCTTGATAATAAGGAGAGAGTTTTCCACTCTTGGATTTGGAAACTGCAGTTACTTCCTTCAGCATTTTCACCACTCTACGCATTGAAGGGCGAGTTATAGGAAGAGAAGTGGTGCAAAGAAGCCCCACACTGAGTACCTTGATGATTTCTTCCCTGTATTGAAAATCAAGAGTGGGATCAATCACCTGATCCTGTCCTTTTTGATCCAATGTTGAGGAAACCCATTTTACTAGATCCTTTTCCCCGTACTCTGGATCAAGAGGGGGTTTCCCAGTTACCAACTCCAAAATTACAACACCAAAGCTATAAATATCACTCTTCTCATTCACCCTAAGAGTATAAGCGTATTCTGCATCACGTTGAACCAGCAAATTCAATTAAATATAGACAGATAAGGACTAATTAAGGATGTACATAAATGAATGCATAAAATAGTCTACAAGCTGATTGATTTCTCTTCCATATGGGGGTAATTTGAGGTACCTTTAATATCAGATGAATTTATTACTTATCAAAACAAAAATTCAAAAGATCGGTAATTCTAAGTTAGTACCTGGTGCAATGTAACCATAAGATCCGGCAATCACAGACATAGATTCTGGCCCTTGGTTGACTCCCCTAATAATTTTGGCAACTCCAAAATCGGCAACTTTTGCTCCAAATTCACCATCTAGCAAGATGTTGCTAGATTTGACATCCCTATGAACAATAGGGGGTACACAATCATGATGCAAATAAGAAAGCCCCTCAGCAGCATCAATAGCGATTTTATATCTTGTTGGCCAATCCAACAAGTTTTTCTTGCTACTCTGCAACAAATCAGCAAGGCTCCCATTTGGCATGTATTCATAGACTAGGAGTTTGCTATCCCCACTGTGGCAGCAACACCATAATCTCACAATATTCTTGTGCCGTATCTTTCCCAATGTTTCAACTTCAGCTTCAAATCCATCCTTTTCAGACCCAACAGGTCCATTTTCCATCTTAGTTGTTCCCCACAATTTCTTCACCGCCACCACCTCTCCATTACTCAGTGCAACTTTGTAGACCTTCCCAGATGCACCACTTCCTATTACATTATCTTCACTCAGCAATGTAACAATCTCAAACTCACTAAAGCCCAGCTTATGAAACGACCTCCACTTTGAAATGTTAAATCCCTTTTTCAACTTCTTGAAGTCCCGGAATTTGAAGTAAAACCAAACCACCCCAACAATTAACACAATCCCAGCAAGTACAAATATGAACCGGAAGATCCACACGTACTTCCTGCTCTTACTCTCACCCAAGCTTGGACATAGCCCAGAGAGATCCCTACACAGACCTGGATTTCCAAGAAAACTCTTTCTATAATTCTCATTGGCATAAAGAGGAGGGATTGCCCCAGAAAGCTGATTGTTTGACAAATTCAACAAATTAAGCTTCAAATTCTGCAGCTCAATTGGAATATCACCAGAAAAACAATTGCCAGAAAGATCAAGATAATTAAGCACTGGCAGGGCTCCTATCTCATTAGGAACATTTCCATTAAGTCTATTATTTGCTAAAGCAAGTTCATTGAGCTTCTTCCAACCACCAATTCGGCTAGGAAGATCTCCAGAAAGCTGGTTATCACTTAGAACAAGCCTATCCAACTGATTCAGCTTAACAATACTTGTCGGAATCCGACCACTAAGTTTATTATCGTTAGCAACAAACTCCAGAAGATTAACCACCGACCCAATTGCCTCAGGAATCGACCCAGAAAACTGGTTCCTCGAAAGTAACAAAATTGACATGTTATGTGCCCCGGAAATCGAATTAGAAATTGACCCAGAAAGAGAATTTTCAGCAAGCTCGAGTAAATACAGATGAGGCAAACCCCAAACGCCATCAGGAACAACCCCAGAAAGGTTATTGTTCCTAAGCCGAACCCTCGTCAAGCTCGTGCATTTCCCGAGACTCTCCGGGATTTTCCCGGTAAACGAATTGTAAATCAGCACCAGCTCCTGCAACCCTCCCCCACGGCACAAAATCGCCGGAATATCGCCGGAAAACCTGTTATACGAAACGTCAAGACTCTGCAACATCGAGTTACCACCCAAACCACTCGGCAACGACCCACTAAGCGTGTTGTTGAACAATTTAAGCTCGTACAAGTTCTCCGACCTTACTATGCTCTCCGGCAGAGAACCCTCGAGTTTATTAGCGAACAAATTCAGAGACCCAAGCCTCTTCAACCCGCACAATTCCTCAGGAATCGTCCCAGTCAACTCATTTGTAGAGACATCGAATCGTTCCAACTGAGTAAGGTTGGAGAACCCGGAGCGTGGCAACTCGCCGGAGAGAGAGTTCTGGTAGAGCTCGATTTGCACAATGCTACGCAACCCGGACGCGAGCGATTCCTGTATGTTCCCGGTGAGCTTGTTCTGTGACAAGTCAAGGTTCGAAAGGCGAGTCAACTTTCCCAGAGAAGGAGGAATGGGGCCCACAAGGTTGCATTGCGCGAGCCAAAGTTCCTCGAGGTTGGTGAGGTTCCCTAACTCGCTCGGAATGGGACCCGCGGAGAAAAAGTTGTTGTAAGCGAGGTGAAGCGTTTTCAGCGAGGAAATGTTTCCGAGGGAACTGGGTATGGTTCCGTTGAGAAGGTTATTAACAAGGGAGAGAAATTCGAGACGGCGGAAAAGGCCGACAGTTGTCGGAATTTGGCCGGAGAAGTTGTTGAAGGAGAGGTCCAGGGTGAGAAGGGAGGGGAGTTGGGAGATTGTGGAGGGGATGGTGCCGGAGAGGATGTTCTGGGAGAGATCGAGGTGGCGGAGGGTGGTGCATGCGGCAAGGGAGGTGGCGGAGAGGGTGGAGTTGAGGTTGTTGTAGGACAGAGAGAGAGAGGAGAGAGAGGGGAGGCGGCAGAGGGCGGTGGGGAAGGGACCGGAGAGCTGGAGGTTGGAGAGGTTGAGGGAAATGACATCGCCGGTGCCGACCTGGCAGGTGACGGCTGACCAGTTGCATGGGGTGGCGTCACGGTGGTTCCAATCAGAGAGGGAATTGGAAGGATCGGAGAGTTGGTGTTTGGCTTGAAGGAGGAAGAGTCCCTCTTGATTTAGAGAGAGAGTGGGTGTAGGAGAGAGAAAGACAGACAAAAACAGAAAGAGAGACAGAAGCATGGTTTCTCGCATGATGCTATGCTATGTTTGTTCTCTGAGCAGTGAGAGTTTAATTTGAGATTTGAACATTAGATATGAGAGGGAAGGAAGAGAAAGGAAAGGGAGCAATGCATGCTTTTGCTAACAGCCAAAGTTGAAAAACGTACCACTGCCTGTTATTGTGCCATATTTTCTTCTCCCCTGTTTATGTGATCTAGATTTCAAAATCTACGATGTGTTCTACTTTTTTAATCGTCTGTTTAATTTGTCATTTTTTACATTATGTTTTAAAATAACATATATCGAAATATAAAATTTTAAAAATTATAAAAATGTGAGAATGAATGGCTTTTGAAAAAATAAATAAAAATTGTTCTTTTATTTAAAAATCTTTCATAGTAATTTCTGAGTCTTGTGATCTTATAATTTTTTAAACAATCTCATATTTCATTACAATTTTTATATTTAAATTATTTTTTTTGTTTAGTTTATGAAAAATTATTAAATAAATGCATTTTTTATTTTACTCATGATCCTTCCTAAAATTTTTATATATTATGATTTTAAATATCATATATTATCTTTATAAAAATTTGTTAACTTTGATTTTTAAGAGTAATTTTAATAAATTAATATTAAAAATTATTTATTATATTTTTATAAGATAATAGCTATATTAATAGTTTGGTCTCTCAGTTTTTTTTCTTTTATTTCTCTAATTATTTTGTTCTTATTTCGAACTATTAACTAATATATGTGTTTCAAACAATGTTATGTTAGAGTGAGTTTTTCAAGAAGTTATAGTGAAAATATATATATACATTTTTTGTAACTTATAAATAATTTATACTATTCTATATTTTTTTAAGTTTTTAGAAGTTTTTTATTTGACTTTTTTAAAATATTAAAAAATGAATTTATTTGCAACTTATAAAAAAATTATTCAATTTTCATAGTAATTTTGTTCTTTTAGAATAACTTATTTAAAATATAGAACCTGAATTCTTTTTGTTATAAATATTAACTATTACAAAATTAATATTTAATTTTTATATTTTTATGAACATTGACAAAAATATAATATATTTTGACAAATTTTTTAGTTTTTTTTTCATATTACTCTTTTTCTTTTGTTTTTTTTCTTCCTTCAAGTTTTAACAATTTATTTTTATTTTTATTTTCATTCTTTTACGTCTTCTCACTACAAACTCAACAAAAATCAGTTTTTTTTCTCTCTCACACAAAAATATATAAAAAATATATTAATGTCAAAAGTTCTAGTCTATTTTAGATCACTCAATAAAAATGTTTTTTAAAATTTTTTAAGCTACATTGTAGTAATGACATAAATTTTGATTAATTGAATTTAATTACTTACCGCATATCATTAAAAAAACAATTACATATAAAAAAAGATGTCTGATCTCTCGCCTTTTTTTTTTATATAGACACATATTTGTAATGTAAATTTTTTAATAAAAAATATCATTGTTGCCACAAAATTAAAATTCAAAGGAGATGAACAAGACAGACAGAGATATGTCAAAAAAAATGATTTTTTTAAAAAACTTAAAAAGAAAAACATACGTCAGTAGCGATATGGATATAGAATAGAAAAATAAGAATAAATAAACCATAAAAAATTATTAAAATATATTATATTTTTATTAAATTTTATAAAAAAAAGGAAACAATAAACAATATTTTTTAACAAAATTAATTTTTTTTTAACAATAAATAAAATATTTTTATAATTTAACTAACCAAACTAAAAAAAAAGTAAGTTTGAGGATAAATAAAAATAAAACTGAGAATTAAGAGGAATAAAATAAATATATTTTTGATAAAATATTTTTATATTTAAATGTTTAAACTTAATTTTAAGAGGTAAAGTAATCAAATCTTTTAAAAATATTGTTAGTTTATTTTGTATATATTTTTAATACAATTTAATTGTGATTATTTATTTTTTAATTATTTAATTAAAACACTTACTATTCTTTTTGTTAATGTGTACATTGTGTTATGTTTTTATTTAAATGAAAGATAAAATAAAAGAAACTAAGATAATAAAAATAAAATAAAAATTAAGCATGATATTATTATGAATGAGTAATATATATTATAGAAAAAATATATTAACAAAAAATAATTTTGATATATTATCAATATTAATTTTTCTACACTATTAATTAGGTATATTATATCAATTTATATATTAATTATTATAATATTTTTTATTGATATGATAATTTGTATTGGGTAATAGTATAAAAAATATTTTATTTAAATTAATTTCATATAAAATGTTAAACTTTATAAAAAATTATTTTAATTTTTTATATTTTCATGCTACATTAGAAATTACTTAATATAAAAATAAACCAGACAGAAAAATAGAAAACGCACATCCCTCTCCCTCCTTATTTCCCTCGTCACATTAAATTTATATAAAAAAAAAAAAAACATTAGATTATTTAATTTTTCACTTATTCTATTTAATTAACCACGCAATGTATCATTTTCTCCTCTTAATTCTTTCCTTTCGTTATTTCTTTTCCCAAACTCAAGAGAGTACTTGTCATTAGTTAGTACTTGTTTGAGAAATTAAAGAGAAAAGCTCCTGAAAATTTATATAAATTAGAAAATATATTTGTGCATTACGCGGTTTGTTTTTTATATTAAATTAATTTATTTTAAAATATAAAATATATAAATATAATAAAAAATTTATTTGTCAAAATAAATTATTATTTAAAATATGTATAATTTAGTATCTCTTAACCTAAAATAAAAGAGCATACAAATATCATATTTTTAAAATGTAAAAATAAAATTTATATTGCTTCATAATATCATAAATTATTTATTATTATAAAATTTTAAATAAATAATTATAACAATAAATTATTAAATATAATAATTTTGTTAATATACGATATAAAATTTGAATAAAAGGCCTTATAAAATTTTATTTATATATTTATTTATACTTGTTAAATTAAATTTATATGATAAACTATCTATTTATAATTATAATTTAAAATTATTAATAAAACTTTACAATATAATTATTAAAACATAATATCATATTTTTAAAAAAATAACTTATCAGACTAATATATAAAAAATAAAATATTTATTCAACAATTTTAAAAATCTACTTTGAATATCAATATATATAAAACTATGTATTAATATTTAAAAATAAAAATATATTAAAATTTTTATATATAAATAAAATTATCATTAAAAAATATTATAAATAAAAATTAATAATAATATGATATATACACTAAATTTAGAAGTTTACTTCATAAAAAATGTAGAATTGATTTTTTTTAAATGATTAAATTATTTATATTTTTTGATAACTTAATAAAATTAATATTGATTGCATTATAAATAAATTTTTATTTAATAACTAATTAAGTATAATAAAATTATGTTATTTGGATGATAAAATTAAAATAATAAATTTATTAATTTTTCATATATAATTATTTTTTAATTTTTTAAAATAATTAATATAGTTTATTTATTATTTATCATTTTAATTAATAATTAAAATTCAATACATGATATCATTTAAAAACAATACAGTTTTATGCTAACTTAAAAAAATAAAATTGAAATATACTACTCATTTTATAGTTTAATAAAATAAAAAATAACAAACTCAAAAACACATGTACTTACGTGAATAGGTAATTCGAAAATACTTGTATTTACGTGGATAGGTAATTCTTGACCGTTGACATGATTATAAAATACAAAAAAAAAATATGACAACAGAAAAAAAAAATATTAAACACGAAAATACATATACTTAGGTGGATAAATAATTTTTGACTGCTGATATGATTGCAAAATACAAAAAAAAATAATAACAATAAAAAAATTGTTGAGCAAGCTTTTAAAAGTTGTGTAAACAACTAAACATAATTTATATAAGTAAAGATGAAGTCTTACTTAGAGATATAAGAAAAGGTATAAAATAAAAAAAGAATATAATAAAATATATCTTTTTATTTGTATAATAGTTAATAATAAAATATAATTTATAATAAAATTTCTTATAAAATAATTTAAATATATAATTTTTTTGTTAGAAATTTAAGTTAACAATTTTTTACTTCAAAGTAAATTTTAGTTTTTGAAATATATATTAAATTATATATTATATTAAACTAATTAAATAGATAATTTAAATATGTAAACTTATCTTTTCATTAGAATTTGATCTAATAATCTATAATAAAATTAATATTTTTATAAATAAATTTTTTTAATTCAAATTACATTTTAGTATTTGCAGTAAATATTGAAATATAAATTATATTAATCTAAATAATAAAATAATTTAAATTAATTAAATAATTTTTAAAAAAATGTAATTTAACAATCTATAATAAAACTAATAATCTTATAAGTGTAATTTTTTTAATTCAACTCATAATTTAGTGTTTGAAGTATATATTGAATTATAGATTATTTTAAACTTACAAATCAGATATAATTTTAAATTGTAAATTATGAAAAATATTATAATCATTTTTAATAGATGATAATTTAAAGTAATTTATAGTATGAATATTTAGGTTGCCGTTTATAAGATAATATAACTATTATTTATAATAAACATTCTTTAAATATAATTTAAAGATAATAAGTATGAATATAATATAATTTTAATTCATAAGTTATACATTTTAAATTTTAATACGTAGGATAATAAGTAAGTCCAGTCAATAGGATTAATTTTATAGATTTCATTTTTTAATGCAATAAAATATTATTTTAATTCGTAAGTTATAAGTTTCAAACTATAATAAATAATAAATGTAAATTTAATAAAAAATTATGTAAAAATTAAATTTTCTATTTTTTTTTACAGGTATACATAAGTATAAAGTGGGGATAAATATTGAATTACACTAAAATTATGAAGATTCGTTTATTTTGATATTAATTATAAAAAAACAATTCCTATGACATTACTCAATAATATTTTTTTTAAGCATTCATTCGTTTTTAAACTAGTTAAGTATTTTTATTATAATAAAAAAATATTCTAATATAATATAACTATAAATTATAATAAATATTCTTTAAATACAATTAAAAGACAATAAGTACGTTAAATACAATTCAAA